TTGTCTGTTTGTCTGTTTGCCTGTATGTCTGTTTGTCTGTTTTTGCGTGAGCGTTTCACGCGAAAAGTAATGTACCGATTTCAACGAAATTTGGTGATAACTTATTACTCGAGTCAACATTTAGGATACCTTTTGTATGTATTTATGTATGTATGTATGTATTCAGCCCTTTTTAACGTCCCACTGCTGGGCACGGGCCTCCCTTCAGTACGAGGGGGATCAGGCCATAGTCTACCACGCTGGCCAAGTGCAGGTTGGCGGACTTTACATGTCTTTTGAAAACTTGCTGGGTTCTCTCAGGCATGCAGATTTCCTCACGATGTTTTACTTCACCGTTAAGACAAGTGGTAATTGTGTTAGAAATGATTCGCACATGAAAATATCAGAGGTGCGAGACCCGGGATTTGAACTTGCTTCACTCGGTTTCCCAAGCGAGCGCGTTACTACTAGGATACCACTGCCTAGATTACCTAGATTATTAGATACCTTTTACTTCAAGAAAATCTTTCTTTCCCACGGGAAAATACAATAACTGGCTTTATAGAGTCCTCCTTAGAAACCTTCCACTGGCTAAGCCTTAAGACATACATACATTAAAACAATATACAAAAAAATTGTAGGTCTTGAAAAGTCCTACAGAAAAGTTCTGAATTGTATATGTCTATCTCCTAAGTTACACTCGCAATATTTATTCTTATCTATACGTATAATAAAACTAACTTAGTCAAATCGATGTGCGCGTTTCACGCAAAAAATACTCAACCGATTTTAACTAAATTTTGTAGTGATAAAACTTAGTACTCGGGTCAACATTTAGGATACCTTTTACGACAGGCAAATTATTGATTACTCGAAAACACAATAACTGGTTCTATCGAATCGTCCTTAGAAATTTATATATTTTTTTAACGTTGGGAAATGCATGTAAATTTATATGACTAACATTGGCTCAACCTTAAGAGATAGATCAAAACATTGTGCAAGAAAATTGTAAGTCCTAAAAAGGTCTATAGAAAAGTTCTACATAGTATATGTCTTTCTCCTAAGGTACACTCGCTATAACTATTTTCATTATTATATATTACTGTTTTATTATACGTTATTTATTCTATTCTATCTATACATATAATAAAACTGTAGAGGTTATTTCTCTTCTGTTTGTCTGTTGGTACGGGCTAATCTCCGAAACTATTGAACCGGTTTAAATTAAATTTTGTATGGTAGTACCTTATATCCCCGGTCAACATCTAAGATACTTTTCATTCCAGAAAATTAAAGAGTTTCCGTGGGATAGGAAAAAAACTATAGTAATTTATACAGCTTAGTACACAACAACTTACGCACCTAATTTCGTAAAATTTGGCATGCTGATACCTTATACTGCCGGTCAAATAACAGGTTACTTTTCATCCCGGAAAAATGAACGGTTCCCGTGGGATAGATCTGTTTGTGCTATTCTAGAGGTGAACCCGAGCGAAGCGAGGGTGAGCCGCTAGTTAGTAAATAAAGTTCTTGGTAATATTGAATTTTACAAATCCATGAGAGTGAGAGTAAAATACTCATAAAAAATATTAAAGAATCAAGTCCGTTCTTTCGCCAGACGACGACTTTGGACTCACGCACACACGTGATAGAGCGCTTCTGCGCGTGTGTGCGTACGCGTAAAATGCCTAATTTCGTTCGTTTTGATTTCGTATGCGCCCACTAACTTTTATTGCCCATTAATCTTTACTAATATTATCTATACTAATATTATAAAGAGGTAAAGTTTGTGATCTTGTGAGTTTGTGGGTTTGTGAGTTTGTGAGTTTGTGACGTTGTAGGGGGTAATCTCTGGATCTACTGAACCGATTTTCAAAATTCTTTCTGAAAAAGCCACGTTCTTTCTGAGTGTCATAGGCTATATATTAACCCGAAGAATGAAAAGGCTTTTTCGTGGTAGCCGGATTTGCAAAGTAAGTCGGAGAAAAACGGTCGAACGAAAACGTTTCTTACGAACGCTGCCTTAACGATGAGAGATATATATGATTATGTTCTAGAGAATAGTTGTAGAGCTTAATAATGCCTACAAAACAGTCAGCGACAGCATATGTCTAATTTTTATATTTAAGTCACAAAAAGTAGTTTTTTATTTTAATAAAATAATTTAAATCGGTAGGTCATGTTTATTGGTCATATTATCAACAATTATGAATTCTTATCAAAGTAAGTAAATTTATTGTCTAAAATATTAAAAACAAAAGGCTTTTCCCTTTTACTGCATATAATTTGGACAAATGGGTTAAAGAGATAATACAACATATTCGTAGGTATGGACGAACCTGAGCGAGCTGTTTGTCTGTTTTTCTGTTTGTACAGGCTAATCTCCGAATCTATCAGACCAATTTAAATGAAATTTTGCATGGTGGTACCTTATATCCCCGTGCAACATCTTAGATACTTTTTATCCCGTAAAATTAAAGAGTTCCCGTGGGATAGCCAAAAAACTATAGTAACTTATACAGCTTAGTACACAAAAACTACTGTTTGGATTTTGATGAAACTTTATAATAGTATAAAATATAGTTCATACATCAGAATAACAAACAGGTTACTTTTTATCCCGGAAAAATATACTGTTCCCGTGGGATAGATGTTTTTGTTTATTTGTGACGTATTATGTATACAACATAGACCCCAAAACAATAGTTATTTAGCTGTTTGTCCGTTTTTGTGTGCGCGTTTCACGCGAAAAGTAATGTACCAATTTCAACGAAATTCGGTGAAGTGATAACTTATTACTCGAGTCAACATTTAGAGCACCTTCTGTATGTATGTATGTACGTTGTATTCAGCCCTTTTTAACACACGCACGGGCCTCCCTTCAATACGAGGTGGATCAGGCCATAATCCACCACGCTGGCCAATATCAGAGGTGCTAGACCCGGGATTTGAACTAGCTTCACTCGGTTTCCCAAGCGAGCGCGTTACCACTGGGATACCACTGCCTAGATACCTTTTACTTAAAGAAAATCTTTCTTTCCCACGGGAAAATATAATAACTGGTTTTATCGAGTCGTCCCTAGAAACCTTCATCTGGCTAAGCCTTAAGACATACATCAAAACAAAATACTAAAAAATTGTAGGTCTTGAAAAGTCCTACAGAAAAGTTCTGAATAGTATATGTCTATCTCTTAAGTTACACTCGCAATATTTATTCTTATCTATACCTATAATAAAACTTAGTCAAATCGATGTGCGCGTTTCACGCAAAAAGTACTCAACCGATTTTAACTTCATTTTGTATAGTGATAAAACTTAGTGCTCGGGTCAACATTTAGAATACTTTTTACGACAGGCAAATTATTCATTCCCACGGTAAAATACAATAACTGGTTCTATCGAATTGTCCTTAGAAACTTATATGGCTAACGTTGGCTCAACCTTAAGAGATAGATCAAATAATTGTACAAGAAAATTGTAAGTCTTACAAAGGTCTATAGAAAAGTTCTACATAGTATATGTCTATCTCCTAAGGTACACTCGCTATAACTATTTTCATTATTATATACTTCTGTTTTAATATACGTTATTTATTCTATCTGAATATAGGTACATATATGAATAATAAAACTGTATAGGTCGAATGTCTGTACATAGATGGTAGAAAAAATTGCTAAAAAACGAGTCAGTTCTCTTCTTACATCCCGTAAGGAGAGAAATAGAACAAATCCAGATTTTCTAAGAAATTTTTGTTTCTCTGTCTGTTTGTCTGTTCGTACGGGCTAATCTCCGATACTATTGAACCTATTTAAATGAAATTTGATACTTTTCATTCCGGAAAATTAAAGAGTTCCCGTGGGATAGTTAAAAAATAATAGTAACTTATACAGCTCAGTACACAACAACTTATGCACCTAATTTAGTAAAATTTGGCATGCTGATCAAACAACAGGTTACTTATTCTTATCCCCGAAAAATGAACGGTTCCCGTGGGATAGATCTGTTTGTACTTTTCTAGAGGTGAACCCGAGCGAAGCGAGGGTGAGCCGCTAGTACACAATAAACTGAGTTCCTTAGCAACCTTTTGCAACAGACACCAGATAAACCAAGATAATAAATAATTAAATTAGAAAAACTGAGGAAACGAAAAGGAACTGCAAAATCTTTTTGTGAGACCAATCCATTATATAGGTAAAGCACTACCTACATACTACCACGGCTAAACGCTAGTAAACGTTAGTAAAGGCTGTACTTCATTGTATAACTTATAAATATTATGTATTTGTAAAGTTAATTATTAAAAAAATATATTATTAACAAATAAAAAGAAACGTTAAATTTACTTATATTTAAATTATGCTATTAAAGACTTTAATTTTTTTTCTTGAACATTGTTTTATGTATAAACTACTTGCTTCCCAATACAAAATTTCATTGCCATTTTCACACCGTTAAGGGATGATTTCCTAGATAAAAAGCATCCTATGTCCTTCCCAGGGTCTCAAACTATTTTCTTACCAAAATTTCATCTAAATCAGTTCAGTAGATGCAAAGATTACCCCTACAACGTCACAAACTCACAAAGTTTCTTTTTTACGCAGACTTTTTTTTTATTTTTGTATATTCTTAATTTATTTACTGCTTTTTAGTCTTGGCCAGTTAGACATTTTTAGTTTTTTTATTTAAATCCCGTCTTAATGGAGTATCGCAGGATCGCTTACACACTCAACCATGATGTCCCGACGGCAAATCTGCCGAAGCAGACCACAACACCATACCCATGGGGAGCTTGCATGATACATCGCCCACCAAAGTGGGCCTCCTCCCAGTGCGTTTCTTGCGGCTAAATTGCCAGACGCTACTGTGCCCCCCTCTCCCCCTTCCATCACGACAAGTTAAAAGAATCAGTTTGCGTTAGGATAAACTAGTTAAGCCTAAAGTATTTACAGTAGGTATTTAATTTTTGTACATATACCCCACTCAAAGTATAAAACTTTCAAATAATAGCAATAACTTACCCACGATCCGTGATAGAGAACTGTTGCAAATGTATTGAATCGTTGTTAAAGTCTATTAAAACATCAGCAATCACGCCAAATCGATCTAGGGATCCGATAATTCCTCCGCTAGGACCTATGTTCATTACTTCAACCAAATATCTATAGTTGAACTAAAAAAAAGATATTAATTATAACGGGTTTTTTAATATACAGCGACGGATGAAAAAAATATCCTCAAAATGTATGAATCTTAAAATATATTATAATATTCATTAAAGTAAATATATATAATTTAATAATTAAGGATGAAAAAAAAAATCTATTGTCGTATATTATAATGTTTATGGGCAAATAATTGACAAAAATATTTTCATACTAGTAAGTAGTAACATTCGTTACGTAAGGTAGATACGTTTTATATTTGAGGAGGTTCTTTTCAAAACTTGACTATTCCACTTTTTGTGTTTTTCCACAATCTGAGAAAATAGTTTTGTAGGTATGCAGCTATGTTTTTAACCAGAAATTTTGATGCATTATTGTAGACGACAACAATAGTCATTGCTGCGTACAGGATTCAAAAATTTATCAATAATAATATGTTTTGAATAAATCCAAAATTTGAAATGGAACAATCTAGTTTTGTCGCGGCTGATTGGAATAATCAAGTTTTGTTATGTAGGTATTTTAAAGGAATAATCAATATTTTTTTTCAAACCACTGTGGATTAATCTTGTTTTGCTGAAACTAATTAGGTATCAGAAATCTCATTATTCATAAAGGATTTCTGGAATCTTTTATTTTGTTGCAATTTAGATTAAAATAGTTAAATAACTGCTGGATTAATCATATTTTGTTCCAAAAATTGAGTGTAAATTTGAATGTTACCAAACAAAAAAAAAGTTTCATCAAAAGTGGAATAGTCAAGTTTTGAAAAGAAGCTCCTCAATTAGACTAGCGAATTACACTCGCTTTGCTCGAGTGCGTCTCGGTACGTTTTAAATAGATAGGTATAAACACTAAACAGTTATTGCGAGTGTACCTTAGGAAATAGACATAAGTATACTGCAGGCCTTTTTAAGACCTGCAATTTTCTAGTAAGTACATTGTATTGATGCAATAACTATTTAAAACGTACCCAGGGTGTGATGTCGTCGTCTTCGTCACAATTAGTCGCTAGTCTATACTAATATTATAAAGAGGAAGGCTTAATTTTTTATTTGTTTGTACTGAATAGGCTCCGAAACTACAAAACCGATTTAGATGAAATTTGTTAAGAAGATAGTTTGAAACCCTGGGAAGGACATAGAAAGGTTTTTATCCCGGAATTCATCCCTTAAGAGGGTAAAATGGGGATGAAAGTTTGTTTGGGGAATCAACCTAGGGACCAACCTGACCGAAGCGAGGGTGAGTCGCTAGTCTTTAATACAACAGTGTACTACTTATTAAGGTTTGATCGGTTATAAAAAATCCATCGAAGTCTATTCAGTACTTAATAAGTGATTTGCTGGTTTAGACAAACAGGCATATATTAATCTAATTTGATCTCTCCCAAATAACCTAATAACGATATTAATCTATATAAATAAAAATGAATCACCGAAATGTATGTACACGCATAACTTCGGATCGACTGCAACAAATTGGATAATTCATTTTTTTTTGTTTTTTTTATTGCCAGGACAAGTTTCGTATAGAAGAAAATAAAAGAGTTTGTTTTTACTAAAATAAGATTTTTTAAATCTTTTGGTATGAAAAGTGAGTGAGTGATATAGTTTTTATCCCGGAAGTCATCCCTTAAAGGGGTGAGAATGGGGATGAAAGTTTATATGGGGAAGCAAGGTAGGGACGAACCCTAACGAGCGAGGGTAAGTCGCTAGCATAATATATAAAGAATGTAAAAAAGTTGAGTAAATGTAAGCTCTCAGACTAAAGAATTATTCCTTCATTCAAGTAATGCAATCCCATTCACTGTTTGAAAGTAACTAAGTCGCCTACAAATGACTCCCTATTTTCTCTGGAAACACGCATTTCATTTTCCATTTGCTCAATATCTCAATTAATTACTTACTAATATCTACATCATCGTAATTGAGGTCAATCTATGACGCTATGTACCTACTGCATGATTATCATTCTGATCGGTAATCACAGTTGCGCAATTAGTTGCCTTCAGTGTTACATTATATGTTGTTTAATTATAATAGGTATACGTTATAACATTGAAGGTGAGTTAATCATTTTATTATATTTTGTGATGACCATAAACAAAAATTGTGAAAAGTTTTTCGTGTTGCCTGCTGTTATAAACTACTAAACAGAAAAGTAAGTCAAAATATCATACTTCAAGATCAGTGAACTGCAGTTGCACTCTCACTCTGAGCATTTTGGCGAAGTATTTGACGTGTTGATCTCCGAGTCGACTAACATTGACAAGACCAGACATCTTCCCTTCGGTAAGTCTGAGCCAGGCGCTGTACGTAATGATGATAGGTCTCTAAAATTTCAAATACATAACAAAAAACTGAAAATAAGAAAAATGAACTAGGTTTACTAAAACTTATTTTAAGGATAATTATTTTAAATTCCGTGAAGTTCTATTTAGAACTCGTAAATTACTTAATGTAACTTCGGAGATAGACTTCATGTATGTGGATTCTACATTTATTTCTGACTATAAAAAAATAACAATAGTTGCTATTTTAAGAAAAAAAGACTTACAACTTCGAATCCCTCTTCAATGTCTGGTAGCTCCATGGGGTCGAGACCATTTTGCTGCATGAATGGTATAATCATCGATATGGTGTTGTCTACGTAGTCATTGACTGTGGCAGTTAAGCCATTGTCCAATTTTTCACTAAATTAAATTAAAAAAATATATTACTACCTTTAGTTTAAATCATCACTAGGGGGAGTCCGGGAGAGTATACCCGTGCTCGACTAAAATGCTTATATTTTTTTCTACAACTAGAAGTTACTATTTTTTGTGAATTGTATCTTGAGCTGCATTATTTAGCTATATTTTCTCTTAGGAAAGTTTGATGTAACTTCAATAGTTTCGCAGTTATTAGCGAAATCTTCCAAAATGAGATTTGACTAATTTCTCCCACCTGGGTGGGAGACTTGACCCCCTAAGTAGGGAGCTATTACCCGGGTTTTAAAATAAGTAAAATAATCATTAAACAACTTTTATTTTATAAAAAAATAGTAATATTAAAGACAAGGCACTTATTATACTTAATAAAATGTTAACATGAGGTATTTTGAGGTATGTATATAAGGAACTAACTAGTATCACACATATTTTGAGATATAACTTAGTTACTATAAAAATAATAAGTATTTAAAAGCTTATAATTAGTAGTCCTTCATAACAAAATTATATTTTTTTAATGTAAAGCAATAATATCAATCACAACAAACAACAATACTTTCTAATTTTTTGGCAATAATTACTTAAATCTGTCTAAAACAGTATGTCTTATAATCATCATTACAATAACTATTAAATTACTAATCAGTCTTGGATACCCTTTTCATTATCAACTTAACAAAAATTAAAATTACTATTAAACTAAAGAACAAAAATACAATTCAAAACAATAGAATTAAATCAACATCAAAAATAATTATAATCTTAATAAATTTCTTATTAATTAGAACAGAGAGGGCAAATAAACTCTTCCTTATCTTCTTTAGACAATCCAACACACATTTCATGGACATATTTGCCACAAATCATACAAAGTCTCATGTCTATCTTTTCGTCCGCCCACATACGAAACAAAACCAAACTATCACTTCTATCTGGTAATTCATCCCATGTGCTATCGGAGCTAACATACTTGGGTTCTCCTTCAAGATCTGTCTCACTTTCACTTGACTGTAAAACTTGTCTTTTGACAGTTCTCTTCTTTGTTTTGCCTTTCTGTTTATTTTTAGTTACTTTAGTTTTCATCTTTTTCGGTTTACAATGGTCTTGTTCTAAGTCTTGTTTTTCTGGTGTTTTAGTTAAAATTTTAGTTTTCCCAGGCTGTCTACCAAAACGTTTACTTTTTCTAGGTGCAGATTTTGGAAAAGGTCGAATTATTTCTGGTAAAATTATTTTTGGCTTTTGTCTTGAGTCTACAGTTGAAATATCCAGAAGTTGAGATGTTGTAGCCACCTCTTTTGATTGTTCTAAAATTAGGATTGCATACCCAGAATGTTCCTCCGTTAAAATTGATGGTGAACTGGCTTCAGATCTCGCAGTTTCTTCCATATTGCTCATGAATACTGATGCAGTTGTTGAAGGCTCTGACTGACGTTGTATAATTGATGTTGAAGGTGATTCCAACCATAGTTACATGTGGAGGGTCTTTGGGAGTTAATGAAGGCGAAGCAACTGAAAGGAACCTCCTGCCCTTGAAGTTCACTAGTAATTTCCCTATCCGTTACTGCGGAAACATAAGAAAATCTTCATCCGTAAAGATGTTTGGATTGTAGGGATGTATTCCAGTTTTTACGAAATCCACTCAAAATATTGGATTGACTAAAAGCCTCAGACATAATGGTGCTTACAAAACCGGTATATTATAAATTGTGACTGTTCGCCCTGGGTTACTTAACATCCAATTATTCAAAGCCGCATTATATCTTGCCTTGAAAGATGAATAAACGGCAACATCTAAAGGCTGCAACTTATTGCTGCAGTGTGGTGGTAAAGTCAGCAAAGTTACTCATTTAATTTTGCGTATTGGACGACTTCAATATTGACATGACTTCTCGTGGTTGTCGAGGATAAGCAGAACTGGGCTTTGAAGAGATGCGTTCGAATATTTCACAAAATGCTTCATGTATTTCACGAAACTTTTGACTGTCATCCATCCACTTGGATACGAGTCACCCTGTGAGCCGGGCGGTCCACTAGCAACAAAGGTATCATTATATTTAACCCTAGGGAAAACAAAAAATGGTGGAATAACATTCCCCAGAGCGTTGACTGCGAAACAAACAGTCACAAGAGTGCCACGCTCAGCTGAAGTAATTTGTCCTACTTGACGTACATGCTTGCTGGCTATGACTTTAGGACACTCTTGTACAGTTGTGCACCCTGTTTCGTCACAATTATAGAGTGTTGTGAGCTTCAAATTTGTATTTCTCTCTCACTTCCTTAAGATTTTCGAAGAAATCGGTAATGTTTTTTTTATTAAAGCTCGTTGATCTGGACAAACTGGTTGATTCCGGGGTCCTCAAACTTAGTTCAGAGTTTCTTTGCATGAACCCTCTGAACCAATCTTTTCCTGCGCAGTTTTTTAAAGTCCAAGAATGTGGAATGTTTTTAGAATTGATTATTGCATACTCATTTGCCAGTTTCATAGCTTCTTTCCTGGTCAAGCCATAATTCATTTTGCTACATGTTAGCAGATAGTCAACTAGCGCTTTTTCTTCCTCTATTGTAAATATTAAAGAAGTTTTAAATTGGCTACCTAGTTCAGTTAGTTTGGTTAATTTATTCCTGTTTCTATGATAATTCCGTAATGTGTTTCGATCAATACCGTATTCCAAAGCAGCACCTCTAATAGATTTTCCTTTATCAATATCGTCTAAAGCATTTCTTATAACTGATATATCTAAATTACTTCTATTCCTTGTTGTATCTTTTGTTATATACTTGAATGGCATTTTAGGTGTTTATCTGAAAAAAGTAATAATAATCATAAAAAAATTAAAAAAAAAATGCGGGAGAGATTACCCTGGGTAAAGTCTCCTCCAGATGCGTGGCTAATGTCTCCCACCCCACGCCAATCTGTGTGCTATTTTAATTTTTTTACAAAAAACTATGATACGTAGATAAAAGTTATGTTGCCGTAGGTTTTACCAGAATAAATACATTCAAGATTTATAAAAGTTCCTCGCTTGATTCTATTCACACAAAACAATACTTAAAAAATATGTAAAATTGAAAATAATCACTTACCGGACGCGAAAACGTGTTATTACTTCTGAGTTCTAAACCACACTGCCGAACGGAATGGCCGCGCGTAAGCGAGAAGGGGGAGGTGTGTGGAATCTAAAAAGTGCGGCAATGTTGCAATATCGTGTTCCACAAAGATTCTATGAGCAGTGGCTATTGTCTCCCCTCTGGTAAACTCTCCCGGACTCCCCCTACATATTATAAAACGAAGTCGCTTCCCGCTGTCTGTCTGTATCATCGCCATATGTAGGCTTAGATCTTTAAAACTACGCAACGGATTTTGATGCGGTTTTTTTAGTAGATAGAGTGATTCAAAAGAAAGGTTTTAGTATATAATTTGTTAAGTTTTTGTATACATTGACTAAAATATAACGATATTAGTTGGAGGTGTCGGAAAAAAATAAGCCGTCTGGGAGCTTTCAACGAAAACGCTGCCTAAACCTACATTATACATTATATTAGAATTTTAAACAATTTTTCTTCGTCGAGCGTTTTTTTATTGCCTTTTTTATCGGACTTTGAAATGAAGGAATTTATACTTATAATATTTTTTTTGTGTATATGTACGATATAACAATGTTCTCATGAGCGATTTCAACCAATCTTATTAAGTCTATCGGCGCGAGCATTTAATCGATGATTTATAGAAAAATTGATGTTTAATCGATTATTATTATCTGTCGCCCCACTCTTATATTTTAATATAAAAGTCGGATTACATTGCAGTGACACATTCGTTTGTCAGCTCTCGAGCTGAAAGCTCTGCCCAAATTGATAATTATTTGAAGGCTAGATAATTATATTAAAATTATATAGTTATTTTAGTAAAATGTTAGTTTATTTGAATATTATTTGTTTTTAAATTATGAGTTTATTGAATTAAATGTCTTTTTAAAAGGAATTGTAATTTAATGAAATTTATTTTATTTAAAAGTTTTCTTTATAATTTTGTGTCTTTTTACAAGTAAATGAATTTGAATCTATTTATTAATTAATGCAGTTGTTCATATAAGATAAGTTGTTTTGTTATTTATATCAGCTTTAATGATTGCTTGAGAGCGCTATTATTGATTTTATTGTTATGAAATAATCTAATAAATAAGTGTATGTTTCAGTGTTATAGAATAAAAATATGGAAACTAATGGTGGTTTGAATCCTTCCGACAACCCTTCTCTTACAAGTCTAGTCATGTTCTGCGCAAGAGATAATATAAATAATTAGTGCTCAAATATGCGCTCAAACACAACTACTCTATTCCTTTCACTCTTAAATTTGGTTGCGCTCAAACACAAATTCACACTATGTATTCCTTTCACTCTGTCTGCAATTCTGTTGCGACGACTATTGAACAAGTCTCTCTGAGGCACGAAGGTCGAAACCTGCCATATTTCCAATTTCGTTATTGTCTGGACAGACAAACCCGATTTAAACGTAATTTGGTCCAACCCGGGACTCGAACCCAGGACCTCCGGGTCTGCATCAGTACATGACATGTACATTGACAAGAGTGGGACTGCTTTACAATGATCGTAGAACACCTATCCAAAACGAATAGACAAAATCATAGAACAATTAATGATAAAAGCTTGTACTTCCTTGAGGAATAGATACGGAGCCTTGTACGGAGTGTGGATGAAAGTTGAGTGCAAAGTATGGTTCTAACAATTACTCACGAAAGTTGTACTGATTATGACTTTAAAATATTTGATAATTTCTATTGTAATAAATTTTCTGGGTAGGATTGTATATAGTTTACTGTTTTGTCCATGTGTCGGGGCAAAACCGTAATAATGAGAGGTTATCTACATTTGTTATTTTGTGCATAATTTTGTAACTTTTCGAAATATGGTAATTTGACACAGTTCCTTATGAGACTGACTAATTATAAACCCTTGTATTTTTAAATAAAAGAAATATAACCTTCAATCGTTTAGATGTAGGTACGTTTATTCCCCGACCTCCCTTACATATTTTAGCAGATTTATTTAAAAGTTCATTTACTATGCAGGGAGAGAGATCCCTTTATTTTCCTAAGATGAAATATGTTTTAAATATTTAGTTAGTTTATAATATTAAGTTTGACTGTGGGTAGTTACTATTGCATTATTTAAAAAAAATGTTATAGCGTTATAGATGTAAATCAATAATATATTCAATCATTCTAATTAAGATTTAGATCTTTCTAGTAATTTTAACAAAATAATTGATAATAGTATTTTTATACGTTTATCACTTATCAGTTATCATCACATGGAACGTTTTGTTTTCAAAGCTAAAAAGTAGCTACTCTTAACTACCTACTTAGTTTTATGATTTTAAAACGTTAGCAGGTATATAAGGAATAGAAATTCGTAAAATGCCCCCGATGTCCAGCTTCCCCCGAGAAATGTGGGGATGCAAAGCGTTGAAAAATATTTTTTTTCAATTTCCGGCTTACTGTGACGTTCTATCGAAAAATGGTTTTTTACAAAAATTGTAGGAAGTAAAAATCTACAACTTTTATAAATAACACTTTTTATTATATACCTACTATTCCTTATATACCTGCTAACATTTTAAAATCAAAAAACTTCAGGTTTTCAATATTTTGTTCCCAAAACGGATTTCAATTGGACTAATACTATATATAATAAAACTGGATATGAGATAGCCTTTATCCTTCCTCAATAAATTAGCTATAAAATATAATAGAATTTTCAATTTTGACTGGTAATTTCAGAGATTATCACGATCCAAAGACAAAAACTACATATTTCAATAATAATTAAATATTTATAGATAGATTGTGTTGAACAATGTACATGTAACTTAAATGAAAAATAAATAGCATAAATTCACAGAATACGTACATATTTGATTGAAAAATATTAGCTTCTGCCACTAGCACGACACATAATAAAATAAAACCTTTATACTTATTACTCTTCATTGTCATATTCGAAAAGGGACTACAGGCCCCTTATCAAATGCTTTACCCTTTATAAAACTACAGCGATAACTATAATCTGATTAACAAAATAAGATAGAAATCTTAATTAGATAAACAATAATTTGCGTTTGAAAATTTTGTTCTCAATGTTCTATCTAAGGAGCAATTTCAATTCATTTTTCTCCCAGCAAGCTTCATTATGTGAAACCTTAGAGTACCTAGGCTATAATAGTCCTCTCGTCTAAATAGATGTAGAGGACTTAGTACTACCTACTCGTAAGTGACTCGCTCAATCAAAAAGAAACTCCATACTAAAATAGTAAGTACTTTTTATGTATTAACTATCTACATAGTAGCAAAAGAATATTATATTCTTCAGAATAGCTTCGGATATTATTATGGCTTTGTTGGGCCTTCCGCGATACTAAATAAACAGTAATAAGAAATTAAATGTGTCCTTGTCGTAGTGTAGGAGAGGTGCACAGTAGCGTCTAGCAATCCAGACGTAAAACCGTGACGTACTCGGTACACATAGTGTGTGGGTCGTCTCTTGTGATGAAATAGTCTGGCAGCAGAGAACCGTGTGAACAATTCCCCGATTGTTGCGTCACTTGTTGAGTTGCGGACGAGAAGTAATACAACCTCTTAAAAAAACTAATAATAAACTAAAAAACCCGACCAAGTGCGAGTCGGACTTGCGCACGAAGAGTTCCGTATCATCTATAAAAACATGCCTGTTGTATGGGAGCCCCCTTGAATATTTATTTTATTGAATTTTTTGTATTTGTTGTTATAGCGGCAAGAGAAATACAACATCTGTGAAAATTTCAAATTTCTATTACGGTTCATGAGATACAGCCTGGTGACAAACGGACAGATGGACAGCGGAGTCTTAGTTATAGGGTCCCGTTTTACCCTTTGGGTACGGAACCCTAAAAATAAGGTCAGCTGTCGGGGCACTATATCGTGGTGAAATGTAAAAGTGATCCTGTAGCCTATTAACAGACGGAAGATTCCGTTGGGTTATCTGAATAGTAACTGCCTTTTTCAGCCGATGAGCTACCATAACCGATCTATATATAGGCACTAGGCAGGTGCTATGCATAAATATGTTATATGTATGGCTCGTGTTTAGTATATGACTGAGAACTGCGCCTTGGAAGAGTGAGCTCTCTTCTTCATAATACTTAGATTACGCGACTATTTGACATCTATTCATATAATAAAATTCTGAGTCAAATCTGTATATTAAATTTTTATTGAAATAGTCATTATTATCGGTAGAGCGGGCGAATCTAGTTTTTAGAATTTTTGTTTGTCTGTCTGTTTGGGAACGCATCACGAGAACACAGTAAACAGATTTTGATGAAATATTGTAAGATGATAGCTGGTTATCCGGGTCAACATATAGGATACTTTTTATCGCGAGAAAATCTCATCTCTAAGAAATCTATCTATCTACTAAACGTTAAAATGTAAGTTTTAAATAAAAGTCATGACGTTTCGAATTTTTTAAAGCAATTATTTATGTAGTCAATGTCTCTCCCGAGATCATGATTGCTATAAAGCATTAGAAATGTTAGGAACAAAAAATCAAAATAAATCCGCGAAAAAATTTGTATAAACAGTTTTATTTATAATCTCTTCATTTCCTCAAAATATTTTTTTATATATTTAGATTCCCCATCCCCTTTCCTTATTAAAAATACAAACCACTCCTCTATAGATCGCATTCAAAATAATAAACTTGTGCCCTTAAAACAGATGTGCACATTCAAACTCTCGTCTCCTCAGTCAAACCGCGCAATGTGGTTGTGGAGGAAGAACTCGTGTCTTTCAAAGGCAGCAACTTAAAATAACCAGCGGATTAGGTAGTTACTCCAAATCATGTATCTGAGTATAATCCTAGGCGGGAACGTCTATACAGACGAAATTTATTTCTGATTATTTATTCCAGTTATCTTACCCTATCTTTAAAATGTGCCCAATAAAGATTTTTATTTATTTAAGTACAGTCAGGCAAATAATATTTATAATTGTGTAAAATATAGAAAAATGCATGTTCTTGATATTTTACGCATTTTAGTGCTTATATAAACATTTTACATTCTTTCCTCTCACGCATGCCCATAAAAAAGTTTGTATATCACCCCTAAGGTGAATATATTAGAGTGGTTAAACAGAATAATTTCGTATTTCGATCATATTTTATAGTAAGTTTCAACAATTTAACCGTAACATATTTAAACTTATGATGTGCAAGAGTTTACTGACAGCGGAGCGAATTGTATTGTGACGCTACATATTACATAGCGATACCTCGAAGAGTACTACGCTTATGAGGTAAACGATTATGGTGTACGTGACTATGTTACTTTAAACCAGCTATACTCAACCTGCGGCCCGCGGGCCGCATGCGGCAGCTACAAAAATCGCATTAAAACATATCTTTGTTAAAAAAGTAACTACATCGTTAACTTGGAATTACGTTTTCATTAAGACCTAAATAATTTTTGCTTGCGGCCCTCGACACCATGACTGAAACGTGTTTGTGGCCCCTATAAAAAAAAGGTTAAGTATGGCTGCCTTAAACCATTCCATTCCGTATCAATGTGTTACTTCACAGATTAGTTGAAAATGAAACATTGATACTTTTACGAACTTACATAATTACATAACATATCGTTTTTTACTTTACGATGACGTTGACTCCACCTCCATCAGGCTAATCTAGTAGTAAACAACTTAAACGTCAAGAGGAAGTGATTAAATAGAACAAAGTACAATATTTTAAATGAAAACAAATATCATTTGAAATAAATTATATTATTTTATATAACATTTATAAAGATTTCTTTTTGTCATCGGCTAACATCTTTTTCCTTTGCTTCAACATATGGCCGAAGAGATATGGGAATAACGGAATATATAAAAACATGTAGAAAATCAATATGTAATAATAATTAAAAATAAAGTTCCACTTATTGGGCATAGACATTGTGAAGAGTTCTTTTTCTGCAATTTCATTCAATGAATGATACATACAAAGAAGTTCTCCGGTGATCCCTAGTGGATACAATACGAGGAATGTTGAATATCTGAAAAACAAAATACAGTCAACATTACTATATGATGTAAGTAGTGACTTACCCTCGCTTCGCTCGGGTGCGGCGCTAGGCACGTTTTTTTTGTAAATAAGAACTGTTATTGTGAGTGTACGTATTAGGAAAAAGAGTTATAAGCTATTGCAGATTTTTTTGTAGGCCTTATTAAGACCTACAATTTTCTAGTACATTGTTTTAATGTATTACTTATGGTTTAGCCAGTGCAGCGTTACATGTAAAATTCTAAAAAGCGACTCGATGGAGCCAGTTATTGTGCTTTTCCGTGGAAATGAAATGATTTTTTTCTGTAGTAAAAATATCCTAAATGCTGATCCGAGTAATAACTTAATACTAAACAAAATTTAGTCGATCCAGTATTTTTTGCGTGAAACGCGAACATACAAACAGACAAAAATTTGAAAAACTATTGTTTCTTTTTAAAAAATATTTCATGTACATATTTCGCTAAATTACTGTTTTATTACATGTAAAGATAGATATTAGTATTATGTTGTCGCTTCCGTCATCGCTCACATAAAAATTATTACTTATCCCACAGAAATGACTATTATATCTAGCGTAATGAACACAAAGAAAATATATGTCGTAAGTTGTATAATGTAAATTAATTGAGTACAAGATTTCTCACATAAAAAAGCAATAAATCAAAGATTACAACATTCATTTGGTAGGCAATTTCAAAATTTTACTTTAAAAAAAATCACTTCAAACTTATTCAGAATTACATATGTTAGGTATAAATAAATAATTCAATGATAAATGTAATTGCTATGCATTCGCTATGTTACTCGAGTTTAATAGTTAAAAGATATGCAAAGTGGAGTTCAAAAAGGTCGTTTGAATATATGCATTATTATGGAAATTGATTACTTACCTGAAGAAAAGTAGTACATGAGGTACTATGTTGAGTAAATTCAACGCATAATATGAGTATCGTAATATTTCTGTGATGGACCAGGCTAAGACGCACAGGGGCAAGCCGGGACTGACGATGGCAGAGTCAGTGACCATTAGAATTCCACATACAAGAAAAACTCGAGAAAAAATCTGCATAAATACAACTAAAACGTTGGAAGGCACTAGTCGTATAGCCGCGTGTAGTATCTGCAAATAATGCACATTAATTTAAAAGTTAAACTCAAAATATACCCAACTTTGTTCAAATATTATTTGTATTTTACAAGTTTATAACATTATAAACATACTTATAGTTTATTTATACCGTTAAAGAAAAGTAGTAACGGCTCGAATTGCTCTTTTTAAAACAGATAGTATTTTTTATCTTAGTCAAATTCATTTATGGATTAAGTTTTTTATGTCGAGAAGACAAAATCTGTACAATCTGTATATAAATATTATAAATGTGAAAGTTTGTGAGTATGTATGGTTGTTTGTTATTCTTTTACGCTAGAACGGCTGAACGGATTAGTATGAAATTTGGCATAGAGATAGATTATAGTCTGGAATAATACATAGGCTACTTTTTACCCCAGAAAATATACGGTTCCCGAAGGATAGATTGGTTTTGTTGGACTGTCAGGTAGTAATGAAGTAATCTATCGATATGATCTCCTGCATAGATATTTGTTTATGGGTCATATTAATATGTACTTTTATGTAGGACTAGCGACTCACCCTCGCTCCGCTCAGGTTCTTTTCCCTAGTTGCGTTTTAACGTTTAGTACCTATAGATTTCTCAGAGATGAGATATTTTCCCGTAGTAAAAAGTATTCTATATATTGCCCCAGATAACCAGCTGTAATCGTATCAAATTTCATCAACATTTGTTCAGTGGTTTTCTCGTGATGCGATCCCAGACAGAGAGACAAAAACTCTAAAAACTATAGATTTGGCCTCTGTATCGATAATAATGACTCCTTCAATAAGATTTTCCAAAAAATATTTAATGTACAGACTCGACTCAGAATTTTATTAAATTTTAGTAAGTAACGGTTAGTATGAAATACAAATCTTTGAATTTCTCGGTTTTTCTGTACTATGATATGCATGTATTATACATATACCTAAACCTTCCTCTTGAATTACTCTATCTATTAAAAAAACCGCATCAAAATACGTTGCGTAGTTTCAAAGATCTAAGCATACATGGGGACAGACAGACAGCGGGAAGCGACTTTGTTTGTGATGTATAGATAAAATAAATAGATAAGGCTTTAGAATTTTTGTCCCGGATCAAGCGGTTTCCATTGGATCATATGGAATATTATTATATCATATGGATCATATGGATTATATGGAATATTATATTCAATAGCAAAAAATAATAATAATAGTCTGAGCTGGCGACTCAAAATAATCTAACTAAATAAAAATATCTAAAATGAAAGTTGAGTAACTATAAATTAGTTTTACATGTAAATTACTTTCTCATAGTAACTCGCTTAAATACAAGTATGCATTTATAATTAATTAACTGTAGGTGTACTTTCAGTGGTTACACTTGATGACCATACCTAGTTCTACTTACACATCATTAGAATACAATAGCACATTAAATTGTAACCTTTACATTAAACTGTAACATAGTATTTTTAAATAGTTTAAACATATCGGTGTTTACATACCTAGTACACATTTTTTTTAAATTGCGTAATTCAGTTTTTGAGATACATATACATGAGTGATACCAAACAAACAAAAAATTATAATTTACAAAAAAAAAACCGACTGCTTAAAATGCGAATTACAAAGATCAGATCAAGTTGACGAAGGAACATGCATGCAGTCATCTACAGTTAGGGTATTTCATCATGCAATCAGAGATTCCCGAACTGTCATAGTTATATATTTATGTTAGTGACTGTAAAAGGGTAGAATATATCATCAAGTAGAACAAAGTTACTGTTAGTAATAAAATATACATCTAGGGAGGCACTCAAGCGAAGTAAGGGTTAATTTAGTCAAAACAAAAATTAAAAGTATAAAATATCGATTACGTTTCATAATTACGAGTACCTCGTTACGTTTCATAATCTACTACTTACGCAACAATAGACATACCTCTAATATAGCTGCATTTTGAAATATTATAATGGTCCACTTTACTTCATTCCAATAATTATCCAATGTGCCACGATTCAAAAAGTACGTTGCTGTTTGCAGCAACAGGTATGACCATCTGAAGCAAGAAGTTTAATTATTAAAAAGAAAAAGTTTCATAATTTTGCTAACGAAGATATGATAATATATAAAAAGCTTTACAATATCATTGGATTAATCGTTCCAATAAAATTATTGATATTTGGCCCTCAGTAGCATTTGCAAAATTTATATTTGATGTAACTTATTATATTAGGTTCTTACATATTAAACTGTCGTTATATATGGAAAAAGCAAAACGAAAAAATATTTTTTATGAAATTATACGCTTAATCAATAGAAGTACATATGTACCAGTGTTATCTATGCACTTTCACCACTTTATAGGTAGTTCATCGACTCCATTGCTAAAAAAAATGTGGGAGCGAAATCAATAAAATCTTTGAAAGCGGCGCTGCCCCGGAATTGAATTTTATTCCTTGCACGAAATTGGCCAAATTTCGGAAAAGGTGGTAATCTGTTGGAGCAGGTCTGGAGAATATGGTAGATGACTGAGACATTCCAATCACAGCTCTTCTAATTCAGCCACCATCTATTGTGCAGTGTGTGGTCAAACGTTATCCTGAAGATGCAGTGGGCTAGAGCAATTGACCAGTCTGGGTTGTTTAACGGCTGCATCATGGTTTGAAATTGTTGACAATACAGATCTGCCGTAATCATCTGGCCAGATCTTAGGAAGCTGTAGTGGATGAGCTGCACTGGTCTACCAGATACTTACCAGTACCTTTTTCTGAATCAAATTTCGCTTGGGGCAGGATTTCACCAGTTCTCTTGGGTTCAACCATTATGATGATCTCGTTATTGTGACGGTTGAGTAATGTAAAGCAACACTCGACGCGTGCTTTTTGGTGTGCTTCACTCAATTCATGCGGCACCCATTTTTCGAGCTTTTTCACTTTTCCAATTTGTTTCAAGTGAATTAAAAGTTTTATCACTTACACCAAAACATGCCGCTAACTCTGTCTATTAATTTCCGTCCGTACACGGGTTCGTTCTGTAGATAAAAAATTTCCAGAACAAAAACATTTGAACCAAAAACGTACCGTGTTTTCTCTAACAGTAGCTTCCCCATACACACCATTAATCGAGCTATTTCTGTGGCGCTGGTGCCACGGTGGAACTTTTATGGTTTTATTTTCTAGTTTACACATACAATAACAGGTAAAACAGGGTTGGGAAATAAAATGATAAAATACTACTTTATCATTTTTATCATACTTTTTAATAGGGTTACAGAAAAATAAAAAATTGACGCCGTCTTTACTGCGTATCTAGGTATCTGCGTACCGTTGATGTCGTAACATACACAATACATTTTTCAATAATATTTTTACATCAATTTGAATTATTAGGTTTTGGATTTTAAAATGGAGCGAATTATATTATATTTCAGAAATTTTAAAGTAAATTTAATATTACGATTTTTTTATTTATATTAGTTGAAAAATATGAAAATATCGGGTTAAAACGGAATAAGCGGGTTAATGTTTTCTTCAGTGAAACATATTACAAAGATATAATATCATATTGACTTTTTATTGAGGTAAACAAAGGGGTCCTCAATTTCGTAATTAAGAAAACGTTAGTAATTAAAATTAACAGTAGAAAGGGGTCCTCAATTTCGTAATTAAGAAAACGTTAGTAATTAAAATTAACAGTAGTTTATTGTACTATTAGTTGATTTGTCAATAGTCATTTGATGCTATAACATTCTTATTTATATTTTGTCACATTTCGGAAATAAAAAATAAAAAAGATAGTATAATTGCGATTTTTATTTCAATTTGCCATCATATTTTAATATCATACGATTGATTCTAAACGTATTTTATTCATAATTTATACACACTAAAATATCACGTATATTTATTACCAGATTTATTTAGTACTGAGTAGTTCTATGTGTAGTTTTCTCCGGGCGTGGTCAACTTTCCAAGTCTTAAGGTATATTTGACACAAAAATTACTATCACTTTGATTTGCTTGAAATGGAAAGTGGCTAAAATATATTTTCTCTGCTGCATAAGTCTAAAGGCCGGTTTAGACTAAGGAACTAAGTAACGCGGTACACTCAAGTGTCTCTATGTGAACGCGAGTCTATAATTTCACAATTAACAGCCTTATAGTAGGGAAGTCCGGGATGCTAAATTTGCAGGTTATTAAAGCGGCATGGGGACCTATTGAATAGTGAAGATTAGGTTCTAAAACGAAAAAAAGTTTGTTAAGTTTTCCATTTTAGAAGAGTTTGTTGCCATGGTAACCGTTGTTATAGTCTGACAAATGATCTATATTATATACTTTCCTAAAATGATATTCCATAAATATATGATTTTAATATGCCTAATATGCTTTATATAATTATTTTATTAAAATTTATCATTCCTTTTACAGAGAGTTGTGAAATATGGGATGATATCTTTAGCTATTTTTTTTTCTGTTACGCCAAAGAAGTATAACTTCTTACGTACGTACATAAGTATACACATAATATAATATAACGTACATAAGTGCACACACTCATTTTTTTTACAACTTTCTGACTCGCCCATTTCCTTATGTCACGCTCAAATTGTAAGATTATTGAAATATACACTTTTCTGCATGTATTAATTTAACGTACTTTTTATGCGCCGGAGTTTTTCTGAGGATCGATTTTTTTTACTAATCTGACGGGCTACCCTCAACGCACCCCCCTATATTAAGGGTTCATATATAGTATGGCACATTGCAGGGTGCAAGGTTTCTACACTTATGATTTTCTAATGCGCTCGAGTAACGCACAAAATCCCCGCTCTCATCATTAACATTAACCACATAAATTACTTGCTCGTGTTAAAAATAGATAGATTATTGTGAAATAGATAATATTATACACTTTTAATAATGTATCGATCAAACTGTACACTGAAGAAAAATATTTGTGGATAAGTCGGTTATTTTGAAACCCGTTCATTAAAATAAGTTTATTGTATAATTCATTAAAATAAATAAAAAGTTACGATCTACATAAAACTATAAATTTAAGTAACATGATGTACAATTTAATACCAATTACCAACTTATTTTAACTATTTTAGTACTCACCCCAATGTTTGAACACCATTATAGGCAATAAGATACGATTTTCCTAAAGCCGATGGTTCTGAAGGTTTATTTTTCTTTTGAGGTTTAGCTGACATTATTTATATTATATTTAAATAAATGTAACTTATGAATACGCGTTTACTTTGCTTGCGTCATCTAAATAGTAAATACAATTCTATAACTATTTGACGTCATCAATGAAAACCCGCTAAGCTCGCTAATTCTGGGAGACCCTCAATCTCCGACTGACGACTGATTACTGAAGTGAAGTATTGCTGACTGATATTGTAGATTGACTGAAGAGAGTCTGTAGCATAAATTTAATGTAATTTGAACATTTATACATTAATCATGTATTTAAATTTGAGTTTCAACACCTTTCGGCTACATAACAGCTAAATCCATGAATGAGAACACTTTTACGTGAGACAATTTTTGTTATTTTTCTGACATTTGACACTTTCGGCTGTCTTAAAAATAACCACAGAATAAATGTGGCTGGTCAGACTCAAGATCAGAAACTTGAAGATATAATATAATAAAGAAATGAATACATTCTGTAAATAAAACATAAATATTTTATAATATGAATAATTTGAATTATTTATATTTTATATAATACATTTAATGATGTCTTGAATTAAATATATTTACTGTCCATTCAGACATTCATTCATTCAATTTTTATTTTAATCTCAATCAAAAGTTAATTTTGCTAATCTGTGCAATAGTTCATTCTTTTTCCATAGTTGACGCTTGGAGAGGCGAGTGGTTTTTTAATTTTTAAGTCTCAATTTCATGCTTGGAATACTATTATTTTCTTAAACATTTTAAAAATACCTTGTGCAATAACTTTCAATAATTTGTTACAGTGATATTTTATATCAAACCTCAACAAAAATGGTTGCGGCTAAAAAACAGGTGCGTTTCACCGTCCACGTGGTATTGGTCATATTTTATATTTCAGGACTTTTTCATGGTTATCTATAATTTCTTATATTTAACTTAATATTATATAAGTCCAAAATCATACGTTTCTCGATAGGCTCACTATTTTCGTAATATGTGGGGTTGAGGATGTAACGTACACTTATAGGTTATAGTTCATCATGTACCTTTTCATGTTGGGTCTTTTTAAATAAATAATTCCCAATGACATTAAATATGTTGTAAACTATTAGTATATACATATTAATATAAGTAAATTTTATTTTACAGAAAAAGACCATCGAGTCTATCAACTCTCGATTGGCTCTGGTAATGAAATCTGGCAAATACTGTCTGGGATACAAGCAAACATTAAAAACCTTACGTCAAGGAAAAGCTAAGCTGGTCATCATTGCTAAGAACGCACCACCACTGAGGTGAGACTACTAAGAAGTAGAGTTCCCTTTTTTACTTGTCGATGGGAAGCATATGGAGTCATTAGACAAAGAAGTATGGTTTCCCTAAAAAGTGGTTCAGTAACATAAAATTTATTATTCTTTGATACAGATATATGATAAATTTTACTTATATTGTGATATTTAGACATGAGATTAAAATTATATTGCATTTCTCTTTTTCCTTTTGACCTTTTTACTGAATCACTCATATTAATGGGAACCCTATGGAGTAGTCTGAATCCATTTGCTTTGAGATAGGTGAGATAATTTTAAAAGTATAGCCCTTAAATTAAAGATGCTTTCAATTTTTAAAATATTTTCTAAAAAATTTCAGTTCTATTTCCATAAAAGTAAAGAATTAAACTTACAGTAGGTACATTTAAAATCAAAGGAAATGGAAACTTTTGATATGTCAATGAACTTGAGAAATTACCGCATATATAAGAACATGTCTGTTAAGTTTTTGTTTTAAAACATTTCTGAACAAGTGAATTTTTTGTGGAAGTGTCATTCTCTGAATCTTATGTCAATTCCATTATGTATATTTAGGAAATAAGTAATGTGTTATCAAGACAAATCTAACAATGTATGAATTGTAAAGCCATTTAGTAATTACAGGGGAACATATAATGAAACATACATACAGGTCAAAAATATAACCTTTTTGAGATACGTTGATTTGGTGGTCGGTTTGCAATACCTCAAAAATTCTATTGCCTTTAACTTTAATAACAATAATATCAATATAGTTGTTTATCCTCATATAAATATCTGTGATAATAAATAATAAGGTTTTTTCACAGGAAATCTGAGATTGAATACTATGCTCTGTTGGCCAAAACTGGAGTGCACCACTACAGTGGCAACAACATTGAATTAGGTACAGCCTGTGGAAAGTACTACAGGGTGTGCACATTAGCCATCACCGACCCAGGAGATTCTGACATCATCACTACCCTCCCTGAGGCAACAGCTTAGACAATAAAATAATATTAATACAAACATTTTGTATTATTTATTGCTTTACCTAATATGTCTATCTAATCTACATATTGTCGCTTAGCTAACAACACCGCATAAGTCATTTTTACAAACTGCAGGAGAGACAAAAAACTGTATATAAATTATAATTTATTAAATTTAAAAGTTTTGAGGCTGTAAATAAAAACAGGTGCTTTAATATAGATAACAAATGATTTGATATGCCTATTATAACATTTATAATGATGTACACGTTTTAAAATAACTTACGCGGTTTTGCATGACAATTTTACTTGACTTAGGAGGTGTTAATATGAATGTATTATTTGTAATGAATTCAAAATCAATTAAAATTTTTTAATTAAATTATACTTACTGGTACAATGTATTTTGTCTTTTAGACTTAAAAAATATTAATAATTAGGAATAACTTAGATACTTGATATTTAAGCACTTTACTGTTTTATATTATGTATCACATCATGTAACGAGATCAATTATACCTATTATGAACTCATTGTCTTGAGTTTCGCAATAAAATCTAAAATCTTTAGAATTATATTCCTATAGTGGATAAGAATATATTCAATTGATGATGAATTACCTACTGGTACGGTAATCTATACTAATATTATAAAGAGGTAAAGTTTGTGACGTTGTGGGGGATAATCTCTGGATTTACTGGACCGATTTAGATGAAATTTGGTTGGTTTTCATCCCAGAAATCATCCTTTTAGGGGGGTGAGAATGGGGATGAAAATTTGCATGGGGAAGCAAGCTAGGGACGAACCCGAGCGAAGCGAGGGTGAGTCGCTAGTTATTCGTAGAACGAATGACACGTTTACGGTAAGACGCTTTTCAGGATCTTGCAAGTCCTAGTACTTACGACTGGTAATCGGTATTCTATTTGTACAATTTTGCCAGTTGGTTTATTCATGGTTTGATGCGATACAATGGTGTATCGAAATCGTTTTTGTAGGTACTATATCGTACCATTAGGTCTGTATTGTAACACACGTGACCTTTCTCCAGGTACTTTTGGATAATTCAAATATTTTTCTTTATTGATGAGCGTAACAAAGCGTCATGTTTCATTTTAATTTTTATTTTTTTATTTTTAGCCTTTCTATCTTATACATATTTATTTAGATCTTGTGATGCTTTGTTTTTGACTTACCAAATCGCCGTAATACGGTACGTTGCTGGGAATAACTACTCTGAGTTTTCCAAGGTTTTCTTAGCTACTTGTATTTGGTAGTATTCTCTGTAGGCAGGGGACATTTGTATCCTGGACACTTTCTGAAACAATGTCTAACTGTACCGTTTCAGCAAAATCACCATTTGAAGCAAGCGAAGCGTTTGCATAGCCATCCGCAGAACTTATCTCATCAACTGTTACTAGTTCAATGAAGCCTTCACCATTTTAATTTATCAAATCACTGTGATTTAGTACGTCGCTGAGAGTAATGAAAGCAGATGATGTAGTTTACGAGGAATACATAGCTGCACTGGTTTCTTTAAAGTTGTCTCGGCTTCTTGCTGTAGTACACTCTACGTCCATTGCTATTGTTTCAACAAAACCTCCATTTAAAGAAAGCAAAGCGCATGCATTGAGTTCTATGAAGTATTCACCACCTTCTTAAATAATGAAGCATTCTTAAAAAAAATACAAAAACACCTTACCAAGCTTACTTTCTTTTTTCTTCTCTATAGTTCTGCTCACGCCGTTCTCTACGGCTCAATATTTTCAGGCCAGCATCTCGCAACTCAATCGATTTTAGATTCATTATGATACTTAAATCAATAAATCTTATAATGAAATTAGTAACTTACCTCTTAATCTTTGTATATTACATTTCATAAGACAAACCCCACGAAACAATACAAAAAAAGCCCTGGAGTAAGTTAGTAATGAGTAATTTTCGCGCGTAGTATGGCGGAATTACGACTTGAGTGGTGTTGGCGGGACAACCGACTTAGGCGCTGTTACTATTATTTAAATACTAGCCTGTAATTTATTGATAGCCTTAAATTTGATAGACAGTTCGACGCGCGATTTAAAAATTTATCCAATGGTATCAAAATCTCTATTCCGCCAAAAATTGACTTGTGCGGTGTTGTTTGCTACGCGACGATATAAAAGTGCTTTTTCTATACAGATTCCTTTAAAACCCATATCAACTGTTTGTCTAAAATTATTCAGTCTATTAAATTAACTTTAAATCTCAGAAAAACACATTTTTTTATTCTGGCCTTTTTTAGTCAATAGAGATAAACATTAAAACTGATAATAGATATTACTTGCTAATGTGTGCTGAAAATTTGTAAAAGTCTAGTACCTAAACTATTTATAAACATTGTTAAAAAAATATTGGTATTATGCGTTTAATATATTTACATCGTCATCGTCGCAGGTCGTAAATATGGGTCAGAACTATGATACCTGCAAAAAGTAACCAAATGACCGTTTTTAATTAAAATTACATCGCTTGGTAAGCTTTGGAGAGATCTAATCTAGCAGTTACCGTGTTTCGTTGAGATGATGATTAAGAATAGTGAGGAATAATTTTCAAGTCATAAACACAATTAAAATAGTCAACAAAAATTTTGTACTTAAAATTATTTTTATTATGAACAGCATAAAATATATTATTAAAGCTAGTTTTACACTATAGAGTTTAAGAGTCTCAGAGTTACATATTATTACATATACCTAAAAAAAATATAAGTTCAATTAAAATATTTACAATAATGCTCTTTGCACTTTACGTACATGTTGACTTTTCGATTCTTTTAGAGCTTCATCTAATTTTTTTGTTAAATGCACTAGATTTGGTAAGTCACATTGAAGCAGAACGTGATTAATCACATGTTGACATTGGCTTGTTGTTTTAGCATCTTGGATTGATGTTATTTTATTTATTGGTGATATAATCTTTTTATCTTTTATCATAGAAACTGTAAAGTCGTGTTCAGATTGACCAAAATTTTTGGGAGTAGTCAGTACAAAGTCCATTGCAGCCATTGGTATTATTTCTTCTGGAAAGTATTTTGATGCCACCTACAAAAATAAATATTGCTATATTACACATTTTATTTAAAGTCTATTTATATGTTTAAATACACTAGATAGACAACTATTATCTGTTGTACTCGAATAATGTATATCTATACATATAATAAAATTGTAACTCAGCCGAATCTGTACATTAAATATTTTTTGGAAAATCTTATTGAAATAGACATTATTATTGATATAGAGGCCGAATCTATAGTAATTTTTGTCTGTCTGTCTGTCTGTTACCGCATCACGTAAAAACCACTGGAGTGATTTTGATGAAATTTGGTATGATGATAGCGGGCTATCCGGGTCAACATATAGGATACTTTTTACCATAGGAAAATGTGAAAAACTGCAATGTAAGAGTATACTAATATGTAAAACCTAAGAATTAGATTTTTGGTCATCTGAACGCGGGCGGAGCCGCGGGCAATGCTAGTGTACTATAATAAAACAATAGTTGTCTAAATCCACATATCCTTTCCCCCCAACGTGCGTTCATCGTGGTCATCGTGGTGTGGGGGCTCAATAACGTCCGGAGTCTGGCGCGAAGGCAAGAAACGCTCTGTGTGGCGGCCCACCTCGGTGGGCGGTGTGCCATGCGTGCGCGGTACTTCTCTGATAGCAGAGTGGACCCTAGGAGTCACCCCTTGGCTGTTGTGGTCTGGCTTGGCAGACCTGCCGCCGAGGCGTCCTGGTTAAGTGCGTAAGTGATCCTGCGACCCAAATTAAGACGGGGGTGAATTTTGTGGGTAGTACTGGCTTTCCGAGCTGATGAGTCCCACATGTGTAAATAAAATACACCTGTATGTAAATGGGTGGTATGTGTAAATGCATTTACCAAAAAAGGTCTACATATCCTTTCAAATACAAACAATTCATGGGCTTAAAACAACCATCATATAAAGGTAGTCATTCCTCAGAGAAGAGTATCTTATATTGTGTATCAATCACAGTTCAACTATATCATTGGTTACTTACCTGAACCTCAAATCTCCATGTAAGGTCCTGAAAGCTTGGATCTTTTTGCTGCAATAAATTCAATGCTTTTGATATTTCCTCTTTTTTAGTATCATATAATTTTAATACAACAAGTTGTTGTTCTTGTGAAAATCCAACTATGGCTAGTGATGATTTAAAGTTTGTTTCTGAAAGCTGCAAACATTTTATATTATTTTAATAAATATAGTACATTTTTTTGTATAAATATACATTTAAGTTTCTTAAGAAAAAATAAACCTTACATTGTGTTTACATCCTTCAACAATTAAAAAAGCTAGTGCATATATAATATTTTGAATATCAGCCATGGAAACATTCAGTTTTTCTACAACAGGTAAATAAAATTATTTTAATTACTTTGAATCCATCAAAGAAAAACAGCTAATTAAGAACTGAAATAATATTCACCTGCAGCTATCATACATTTTTTTTGGTTAACTCCATTACTGAGGTAGTCTATAGTAAGTTTGCAGAAATCAACCAGGACTGTGGATAGCATTTATTTCATAAAATCAAGTCCTAAGTTTAGAGTTCAAAATTATATAATAAAATCCTATAAGTCTAGTATACTGTTATTTGTTAAGATATTTGTTCCAAAATTTCATTATTTTCTTAGTGATTAACAAAAACAGCATAATTATATGTACAACATTTGTGATAATGCAAATAATGCTAAATTTATATAAAGCAAACCTTAGAATAACGTCATAAAATCTATATTGTAATTGTTATTTTGTTGATACTTGTATCAATCATTACTGATTGTCTAAAATCTTCTAATTTTTTGCAATACCATAGTATTGTATTTATAGTACCAATGATAGTTACCCTGAGTGGAATGTTGATGAAGTATACTTAAGTGTTCTTTTTGTAATTCGCTTAGAAAAATAATCATTTTTTCTTGATAATGAAATACACATAATTTATTAACTAATATTTCCTTATTACATTTATTTTAGAAATTTGATTAAAAATAACATTACTTCTTTATTATATTTTGATTAATACTATGTTTTAGCAAATTATTGATTAAACAATAATTTTATTACGGTTTGCGAACATCAAATATGTCAAAATTCAAATGTCATTCTAAAAATTGAAATTTACCATTTTTTATATTACAAAGAGCATAGAGAACTGACAAGCATAGATGAATAGTTTCTATGTGACATTGGCGAAGAAGAAGAACTCCTAGTATCTTCGATCAACATTAATATTGTTGATCGAAGCTTAAAAGCCATAAAGTAAAAGAATTGAATCGAAACGATGAATATTGATTATTAGAGTAGAGAACCTTAAAGAAACTACAGCTAGTTTTCCAATGAGGAAGAAGTTTGCCTTCTACTCCCGCCAGATGTCGCGATCACTATGGCTCTCAGTTTATTGTAAAGGTATAATATAGCGTATAATCACAATCTTTATATTTAAAGCGATATGGACATCATTTTAAAAAAAGGTATTTTTAAACTCTTAAATCGTCTACATGTGTACATCAATGTTTCTTTGAAGGGAAAACTGCTACAGACAGATTTGGATGGGAAGTAACTTTATTTAAGCCATCAACGACATAGTCACGTGACGGGTAAACGCTAACACTCAAGAGTGCCGATACATGTCAAAATTAGATAAATGTTAACAGTTTTAATTTACAAATTTTAATTTATGATCAAACAATTAATTTGAATACCTAAAAATAGCAACTGTTTGTTTATATGTAGTTTTAAGTTTTCACTTCTGTCGGCAATCCACATGACTGCTTTTTTATTTTTCATACATTTTTACTATGGAGGGTAGACATATTTTTTGCATAATAATTACAGAGTTTCATACAAACTTTCATCTCCCATTTTACCGTATGGGACTGAATTTTGAAAAATGCTAAAACACGTATTTATTTAATGGTATTGTCGAACATTAATACCAAGTTTCAAGTAATTCTGATTATAAATATTTATTTGTCTACATCGTCATCATCTTACCAGCACTAAAGCACATTATGCAGCATAATGCTCAATTTCGTCTTTTCAAATACAACAACGCTCTGCCCAGTCGAGCACTTTGAAAAGTACTGCTTTGGCATGATGCGCGCAACGGGTAGCAGAAAATATAAGAAGTGTTTTTTCGCCTTGTTCGTGCTCATGCACTAAAATACAGCATTATACTCTGTAATTGGAAAACAGGGACAGCTATGGGTACTTCTTCGTGCTAAAGATATTTCTACGGTACGATTAAACAGAATAGTCCTTGTGTGTCCCTAGCCTAACTTTGTAATACCTACGTAGACGTAGATGATAGATCATGAGTTTGCTATTTTTAGTAAGCACAGTTGTAAACAGATCATATTTAGTTATGCTTAAAATCAAGTTCTATGAATTAATTAAAATAAAAAAACATGATTATTTAGGTAATAAAACTGTGATCTTCTAATTTACCTGACACATAGATGGGCAGAAGCAGTTGAGACCAAGTGGGAGGCGCTTGCAGCCAGTCTGGACATAGCGAAGGCCTTTGATCGGGTATGGCAGAAAGCGCTTCTTTCGAAGCTACCTTCCTATGGGCTCCCCGAGAAATTTTGCAACTGGATCACCAGCTTTTTGGCAGATCGGAGCATTAAGGTCGTTGTCGACAGTGCTTGCTCTGATCCTAAATATGTCAATGCTGGTGTTCCACAAGGCTGTGTACTGTCTCCTACTCTGTTCCTTCTGCATATCAATGACATGTTGCAAATTAGCAACATTCATTGCTATGCAGACGATAGCACTGTGGATGCGTTGTACACTGGCCGCGCTAATATTTCTCGGGAATACGTCGACGAGAGCCGGAACAAACTTGTGTCTGAAGTCGAATCTCTGTTAACCAAAGTCTCGGATTGAGGTCGACTAAACTTTGTCCAATTCAACCCCAAAAAGACACAAGTTTGCGCGTTAACCGCTAAAAAGTCGCCATTTATCGTAGCTCCTCAATTTGAGGACACTCCTCTGTCTCCCACAGCCAGTATCGGAATACTTGGCGTCGACATCTCGAGCAACGTCCAGTTCCGTGGTCAATTGGAAGGTAAGGCCAAACTGGCATCAAAGAAGCTTGGTGTGCTCAGCAAGGCGAGACAGTACTTCACGTCGCGTCAGCGTCTTATTCTTTATAAGGCGCAAATTCGGCCCCACATGGAGTACTGTTCTCATCTTTGGGCGGGAGCTCCCCAGTACCAGCTACTTCCATTTGACCGCATTCAACGTAGGGCGATTCGAGTTATCGACGATCAAGCTCTCTCCGATCGGCTTGATCCTTTAGCTCTGCGTAGAGATGTTGGATCACTCTGCATCTTCTACCGCATCTATCACGGGGAGTGTTCCGAGGAATTGTTCGGACTGATCCCGGCTGCTGAATTTCACCATCGGACATCGCGCCAAAATAGTAAATTCCATCCACACCATCTCGATGTCCAGCGTTCCACAACAGTGCGATTTTTAAGGCATTTTCTGCCCCGCACAACCACTCTGTGGAACCAGCTATCGCCGGCGGTCTTTCCGAACCGCTACGACCTGGCCACCTTCAAGAAGAGAGCGTATTCCTTACTTAAAGGCCGGCAACGCTTCTGCAAGCCCTGCGGTGTTGCAGATGTCCATGGGCGGTGGTGATCACTTTTCATCAGGTGAGCTCCTGCCCGTTTGCCCCCTTAGTCCCATAAAAAAAAAAAAATACTTTATCGTTTTGACATATTAAATGTTTAATTCTTGCAACATTTCAGCCAACATTGCATGGACGATTTTGATAGATTCAAGATTGTCAGTTTAACTATTTCTTTTTGACACAAATCACAATTCGCTGTTTTTAATTTCATTTTAATAATTATAAGATTTATTAAGTTATGTGTATTAGGGAAATAAATACAATATGGCTTTGAAAAAGGTGAAAGGTAACTTTGAAAGAATGTTCGACAAAAATCTTACTGACTTAGTTCGTGGGATCAGAAATAACAAAGATAATGAGGTATAGTGTTTTTAATAGTGATTATAAAAGTTTAAATAATATACGATAATGAGAATAACCAGTACTTGAACATATTTTAGGCAAAATATATAGCGCAATGTATGGAAGAAATTAAATTGGAGCTGCGACAAGACAATATTGGAGTGAAAGCTAATGCCGTCGCAAAACTAACATATGTAAGTGTATGAATAGAATATATTAATTTGTTGATACTTTAGATAATTCACTAACAATAATTTGTATATAAACTTTTAGGTTAAGAAGTAATTCATTCTAGATACTAGTCATAATGACTAAAATTTAAAGTACCTATTCTATTTTAATGTAATACCTAACCAAATAACAATTTTATTTCTGATTCATAAAATTCTTTTCAGTATATCTTCTAATGGAAATATGTTTTATTGTTCACAGCTTCAAATGTTAGGATATGATATATCCTGGGCTATATTTAATATTATAGAAGTAATGAGCTCTAACAAATTTACCTTTAAACGCATTGGATACTTAGCAGCTAGTCAATCATTTCATGCAGATTCTGAACTTCTCATGCTTACCACAAACATGATAAGAAAAGATTTAAATGCTCAAAACCAATATGAAGCTGGATTAGCACTCAGTGGTCTAAGTTGTTTTATATCACATGATTTAGCCAGAGACTTAGCTAATGATATCATGACACTGGTAAGTTATAAATTTTCTACATTTTCTCATATAATAATATTACATTATTATTAACTTAACTAAAATATTTTAGATGAGCTCAACTAAACCATACCTTAGAATGAAAGCTGTTTTAATGATGTATAAAGTATTTCTACGATATCCAGAAGCTTTAAGACCAGCATTCCCTAAGTTAAAAGAAAAATTAGAAGATCCTGATCCTGGTTAGTGCATTTTTTATATTTAAATGATGAGGTGAAGATTATACAGTAACACAATGTTATAAATGAAGCTAATCATTTTATAATATTTCTGTAACAGGAGTGCAGTCAGCAGCAGTAAATGTTGTATGTGAACTAGCCAGGAAGAATCCTAAGAATTATTTGTCCCTAGCTCCCGTCTTTTTCAAATTAATGACAACATCTACTAATAATTGGATGTTAATTAAAATCATCAAACTGGTAAAAAAATGCATTTATTAAATTATATATAACATTATTTTAATCAAACTAGCTCTAATAGTGTTAAGAAGAAGGAGAGAAATGTTTTAATGTGACATGTATTCATTTGCTCTTTTTTATATAATAAAAAAGTAAGATATATTGTAAGCTGCATATAAGTGTTGAACATCAATAAGTTTGCTCAGCTCTGATACTTTAAGAGTTGGTATGGCAAACTAATAACATTTCACACTAAATTCTGTCTAACGAGTATTCATTCTCCACAGTTTGGTTTAATGACTCAGTATGAACCTGAAATTGGGAGAAAAATAACTCAAAGCCTCATAGACTTAATTTGCAGGTACCCTAGTATTGTTATAAAAATAAATTAGCAGCTAGTTCCATCCACACCCCACTTGGATTGACCCACATTTACAGAGAGGCTTCTTCATATGTTCTTGCTGAAGGATTTGTTTCCGATATAATTAGCAGTTTGGTGTGTACAGCTTCCTACATCATGACATCAACTGATAGACATTTTTACACTGATTATACAATCCATATAAAAGACACAAAACAAATTGAACAATGTGTTTAATATGAATGTTGTTAAGATTATCTGCAAAGCTACAGTTTAGTTTATACATATATCTGCAAAAATATATCACTTCACACTAAGTTTACACAAAATTGGCATGCTACACATTTTATATTATTTTTGCTGCAGCTCACACAAATTGTACTGAAAAACTCAATTTAGGATATACTTTCATGTCAACAACATGTTAGTTCTGGACCATTTTAGGACAATCTCGCTCTCGCATAAGCTAGTTTTATGTAGTGTCATTGTATTTGTTCCAGTTTGGTGCCTTAACCCCATTAGAGCCCCGACTTGGCAAGAAACTGATAGAACCATTAACTAATTTAATACATAGGTGAGTCAGTCACAGTGGCTTGTATACGAAATGTATATTAGAGTACAATTTTTGGACTCTATGGGGTGAAGGGAAAGTAATGCTGAATACATGAGAGTTTTGAGTGAACAATAAAAGTATATTGGATATGAACAAAAAATGCTTTTCCCGCTTCTTATAACAATTTGTAAATAATGCTTAATATGATTTGTGTAGTACTAGGTTCTAGGCATATCAAAGCTTGATTGCTGCAAGGAGAAGTCATAGCTTTCATTTGAATGTCAGATGATTAAAAGCTTTGAAGCAGGTTCAAATAATCCCTTTTAGATAGATGATCATAGGCGTATTCAGTAATCCAATAGGGTCACGCTTTTTAACCCTTTTTATTGTACTGCACATGTTGTAATTCAAGCTACTGAATCAGTTCTAATGTCACCTTCAAGCACAATACGTATTATTTAAATCCAAGATAAAAAGTTTGAATTTTTGTCTCAATAAATTATTTATTATCACTTATTTATATTTAAGTAAATGTAAATGAATTTGTAGAATTTTATAATAATCAATATATATATATATATCTTAATTGTACAATATTAATAATTCCTAATAATATCACGGTGATACAAAATACTAATCAGTGCTGAAAATAATAATCTTGTGTTCATGAAAATAATTTTTATTTAAATAAATACATTATAATTTTGGAAAGGAGGTTCTCCATGGACCAGTGTCTGGTGACTTCAACCGATAAGTAATAAAAGTATCGACCATAGTAACCACATAGTAAAGTAATTAGTAATTACTAATGTTAAACAAATAATACTATCACAGTCTACTTATCCATGTAATCGTATAATCAAGGTATAGACAGGGCGGGTAATCGTGCGGGGCATGCGGGGGGAGACGCGGGCGAGGCGCACCCGTCTGTCATCCGTTCTATTCTATGACTGTCCGGATACGACTTTGGGATTGACTTGCAACGAGATGTCACGGGAAAAATTCGTTTGTAAATAAAATTGTTTTGACAATTCTTGAATTTGGTAACATTTCAGTGCCTACTGTATGGGTTTTTATACTGTGATATAAATAGCTGTTGTTAGTTCCGAAAACAACCACTAGGGAAAGTTAAACGTCAATAGTAAATATATTCCAATGTGTGGGTGGGTAGTACGACGGCCATGTCGCTCCTGTACGAGTGCATCAACACGGTGATAGCTGTGCTGATAAGTATTAGCAGCGGCATGCCGGGCCACGCCGCCTCCGTGCAGCTCTGCGTGCAGAAACTCAGGATACTCATTGAGGATAGCGATCAGAACTGTGAGTGTTGTTTGCTTTGTTTTTTTGTGTGTATGTGTGTGTGTGTGTTTTTTGGGTCTTTTTATTGTAGTAAATAATGTGAATACTATGTGGCTGGAGAAGTGCTCTTTTGAATTGTAATAAAAAAGTAACAGCATTTATGTGCTTATTTTTTATGGAAATTAATTTAGACATTATTAGTGGTTTCTATATCAGAAAAGTATTTTTTAAGCTCTTGATTAAGGTTTTACTGGTATCGTAAAATTGTAATATATTACAAGGGTTACGAAATGATGTACTTATAATGCAACTTTCTTAAGTATAATAACAACCAGGTAAAAACTTCCCCAGTGTGTGTTATATGTAAAATAAATAATGAAGTACCTATTTGATGAAGATTGTTCGATGACGAAAAATTTATATATTGTTTTTAAATCCTCTGTACGATTGACAAACCTGGTTGAAAATATAATCCTATCATTAATACATTTTTGTTTACAGTAAAGTACTTGGGTTTGTTGGCTATGTCTCGAATACTTAAATCCCATCCGAAGTCAGTTCAAGCTCATAAAGATTTAGTGCTGGCCTGTTTGGACGACAAGGACGAATCTATCAGACTGAGAGCACTCGGCCTACTGTACGGAATGGTATAGTAAATCATTTAATCCATTTATATTATATATAAATAAAAATGAATGTTGCTAAGCGCAAAACTCGAGAACGGCTCGACCAATTCAGCTATTTTTTTTTCGTATGTTCCTTTAGGTGCACGGAAAGTTTTAATAAAGAGAAAAAATCTATACAGATAAATAAAATTGAAGTGTCTGTTTGTAATGTCAAAATAACAGCGTTAACTAAATGCATATTTTTATAAATTTTTGTCTGTCTGTCAGTCTGTCTGTTCCGGATAATCTCTGAAACGGCTGGACTGATTTTGCCGGAACTCTCATTGGAAGATAGCTCATGTTATACGGAGTAACATAGGCTACTTTTATTTTAGAAAAAGAATTAGGGTTCCGCTCAAAAAAAAAATTATCTATGTTTAAAATAAATTATAATATATACTAATAGTTCATAAATAGTTATTATAATAGGCTATATTAATTATAATCTTCTCAGAAGTTATAGATTGAGAAACCTTATTTTTTTGCAATCGCAATTAATTGGTTTTTAAAATCGGAATCGTAGGAATAATCGTAACATCGGAATATTTTTTTATGAAGTCTAATAATGTAGTTTTAGTTTTGTCGAAATCACCTAATTTTTAGATTATTTAGTTTATTTTTAGTTAACAACAAAAAATCTTAAAAGAGATTCCATTTCAAGATTTGCTAAGCTCCAAACATAATACAATTTTATAACCAGTTATTAAAACCCACAAATAAGTAGTATTTCGTTCTTTTTAACGTCCCACTGCTTGTCTCAGAGCCTCTTTTTCAATACGAAGAGTATTAGGTCATAGTCCAACACGCTTTTTTTTTCTTTTTTGTTGTCGCTGGGGAAACCCATCATGGGGACTGGGTAACAAGGTACTGTGAGACTCCTACTCACTAAAACCCACAGCGGAACCCGTCGCCGCAGTGCAATGGTGCGTTGCAGGATCGTTTGCGCATTCACTACAATAGTCCAACACGCTGGCCAAGTGCGAATAAGTTATTTATATTTAATATGGGTTTTTTAACCGCAGGTGTCAAAGAAGAATCTAATAGAGATAGTGAAGAAGCTGATGGTGCACATGGAGCGCGCGGAGGGCACGCTGTACCGCGACGAGCTGCTCACGCGCATGATCGAGATCTGCGCGCAGAACAACTACCAGCACGTCGTGCACTTCGAGTGGTACATCACTGTGCTTGCTGACCTCACTGAGATGGAGACCAGTGCTAAACATGGTATTGCTTTTGTTTTTTTTTTTTGAAAAGTAGTTACTGGGCATATACCTTGCGGAGAAGATGGGGAAAAGTAGAGGAGGAAACTTGTAGGACGGGGAGTCTAGATGTCGGTCCACTGGAGCTCTTACGTGGTTTTTCTGCTAGTAGGTATATTATGTTATATACAAAAGACCATTGTTCCCGGCTGCTTGATAGCACTGCAACTGACGGAGGCTTTCTAACTTTTATAGAGTGTGTTGTGTAACAATTTGTAGAGTGTAGGAGGGAAATGTTAAGTACGAAACAAAACCCAACGAGTGATAGTTCTGATTTATAAATAAAAGGCACACTGATAACTATACTAATAAAATAACAATTTATAGGCGCCGGAGAATTGCATGTGTGCGAAAACACGACACGTGTAACGTAATTGACATAATTTGAATATTATTTTATTTATTGTGTGGTGTTCCGTACAGAGAGCTCTTTAAAGGAAGTTTGTTTAAAGTGAGGATATTTAGTGCACAAATTAATTAATTGTACTTTCCTAAGTGGTAAGGCAATGGTAGCCCAGTGGTAACGTGTTCGCTGGGGAAACCGAGTGAAGCCAGTTCAAATCCCGGGTCTCGCACCTCTGGTATTTTCATGTGTGAATCATTTCCAACATGATTACCACTTGTTTTAATGGTGAAGGAAAACATCGAGAGGAAACCTGCACGTCTGAGAGTATCTAGCAAGTTTTCAAAAGACGTGTGAAGTCCGCAAACCGGACTCGGCCAGCATGGTGGACTATATCCTGATTCCCCCCGTATTGAAAGGGAAGCCCGTGCCGAACAGTGGGACGTTAAAATGGGCTGAATACATACTTTCCTAAACAAACATATATTATACACGGAGTATCTCATTGTTCCAGGCTGCATGATAGCTGCGCAGCTGCTGGAGGTGGGCGCGCGCGTGGCCACGACGCGCGCGTTCGCGGCGCGCGAGTGCGCGGGCGTGTGCGCGCGCGCCGCCGCCGCGCCTCCGCGCGCCGCCTCGCGCGAGGTGCTCTACGCCGCCGCCTTCGTGCTCAGCGAGTATTGCGTGTGAGTTGTACTCCTCACTAGACAACTCATAAACAAACGGCTTTAAATAAGCAACACCTTTAAACGTTTTGCTTATTTTTTTAAAACGTTTTAAAGAGGCTCTTTTCATTGAAACGCTTTTTTATATAAAATTGCTAATTGTTGAAGACTTTTAAACAAAATGAATGACTTAAGTGAAAGTCATCTGTCATAACGACAAGAGTTGAAAAAAGCGTTTAATGGATGCCGGTTCGTAGTGTTGATGATGAACAAAATTAATACATTTTCAATTCATCAAAAATATTACGTAAAGAAGTAGAATGTAATTTGGCCGCTTAATATGAATCGATTTCATTTGATAATGAGAGAGTCTTATAAAGATAGAAATACGGTTGGTTTATCCAATATAATTTGACCGACTTCCAAAAAGGAGGAGATTCTCAATTCGTTGAAATCTTTTTTTTCTTTATGTATGTTCTGTTTTACTCTTTATGTATGATTTGAAAAAAAAAATTTTGGTTTCAAAGAGTATATTTCCTAGGTGGTCCCATATAAATTTTATCGAAATTGGTCGAGCGGTTTTTATTAAACTGTTTAATTGAATATGTTATTAAAAAACTTTCTTCTTACAAATTACCTGCATATTACGTATACACTAAAAATGAAAAAATAAAGACTTTAATAGGTACACACAGTCTATTAAAATATATTTATTTCAACTTTAGCTTTCACAAGAAAACTTATTGTTATGGAACATTTACACAAAAGATACATAATCTATACTAATATTATAAAGAGGTAAAATTTGTGATCTTGTGATTTTGCGAGTTTGCGAGTTTGTGAGTTTGTGGGTTTGTGAGTTTGTGACGTTGTAGGGGGTAATCTCTGGATCTACTGAACCGATTTTCAAAATTCTTCTACCAATAGAAAGCCACGTTCTTTCTGAGTGTCATAGGCTATATATTAACTCAAAAAATGAAAAGACTTTTTCATGGTAGTCGGATTTGCAAAGTTAGTCGGAGAAAAAACGGTCGAACGAAAACGTTTCTTACGAACGCTGCCTTAACGATGAGAGATATATGATTATGTTCTAGAGAAAAGTTGTAGAGCTTAATAATGCCTACAAAAAAGTCAGCGACAGCATATGTCTAACTTTTATATTTAAGTCACAAAAAGTAGTTTTTTATATTAAAAAAATAATTTAAATCGTTAGGTCATGTTTATTGGTCATATTATCAACAATCATGAATTCTTATCAAAATAAGTAAATTTATCGTCTAAAATGTTTAAAACAAAAGACTTTTTCCTTTTACTGCATATAATTTAGAGAAATGGTTAAAGAGATAATACAACATATTCGTAGGTATGGATAAACCCGAGCGAGCTGTTTGTCTGTTTTTCTGTTTGTACGGGCTAATCTCCGAATCTATTGGACCGATTTAAATGAAATTTTGCATGGTGGTACCTTATATCCCCGGGCAACATCTTAGGTACTTTTCATCCCGGAAAATTAAAGAGTTCCCGTGGAATAGTTAAAAAGCTATAACAAATTATACAGCTTAGTACACCAAAACTACCGATTGGATTTTAATGAAACTTTACAATAATATAGATCATACATGACAAAAACAAATCAGCTACTTTTCATCTCGGAAAATTAAAGAGTTTCCGTGGGATAGTCAAAAAACTATAGTAACTTATACAGCTTAGTACACAAAAACTACTGATTGGATTTAGATGAAACTTTACAATAATATAGTCCATACATCAGAATAACAAATAGGTTACTTTTTAACCCCTAAAAATGTACTGTTCCCATGGGATAGATGTTTTTGTTTATTTGTAACGTATTATGTACACAACATCTATGGGGTCTACCCCAAAACAACAATTATTAAAAAAAGGTCTGTCTGTATGTCTGTTTGTCTGTTTTTGCGTGAGCGATTCGAGCGAGTCAACATTTAGGATACCTTTTGTATGTATGTATTCAGCCCTTTTTAACGTCCCACTGCTGGGCACGGGCCTCCCTTCAGTACGAGGGGGATCAGGCCATAGTCCACCACGCTGGCCAAGTGCAGGTTGGCGGACTTCACATGTCTTTTGAAAACTTGCTAGGTTCTCTCAGACATGCAGGTTTCCTCACGATGTTTTCCTTCACCGTTAAGACAAGTGGTAATTGTGTTAGAAATATTCGCACATGAAAATATCAGAGGTGCGAGACCCGGTATTAGAACTTGTTTCACTCGGTTTTCCAAGCGAGCGCGTTACTACTGGGATACCACTGCCTACATACCTTTTACTTCAAGAAAATCTTTCTTTCCCACGGGAAAATACAATAACTGGTTTTATCGAGTCCTCCCTAGAAACCTTCCGCTGGCTAAGCCCTAAGACCTACATACATCAAAACAATATATGTACTAAAAATTGTAGGTCTTGAAAAGTCCTACAGATGAGTTCTGAATTGTACATGTCTATTTCCTAAGTTACACTCACAATATTTAGTCTTATCTATACGTATAATAAAACTAACTTATTCAAATCGATGTGCGTGTTTCACGCAAAAAGTACTCAATCGATTTTAACTAAATTTTGTATAGTGATAAAACTTAGTTCTCGGGTCAACATTTAGGATACCTTTTACGACAGGCAAATTATTTATTCCCACGGGAAAACACAATATCTGGTTCTATCGAATCGTCCTTAGAAATTTATTTGGCTAACGTTCGCTCAACCTTAAGAGATAGATCAAAACATTGTGCAAGAAAATTGTAAGTCTTAAAAAGGTCTATAGAAAAGTTCTACATAGTATATGTCTATCTCCTAAGGTACATTCGCTATAACTATTTCATTATTATATATTACTGTTTTAATATACGTTATTTATTCTATCTATATATATAATAAAACTGTATAGGTTAAAAAAATAATACTAAAAACCGAGTCAGTTCTCTTCTTACAACCCGAAAGAAGAGAAAAAGAAAAAATCCAGTTTTTTTTTAAATTTTTGTTTCTCTGTCTGTTTGTACGGGCTAATCTCCGAAACTATTGAACCGATTTAAATGAAATTTTGCATGGTAGTACCTTATATTCCCGGTCAACATCTAAGATACTTTTCATTCCAGAAAATTAAAGATTTTCCGTGGGATATTTAAAAAAACTATAGTAACTTATACAGCTTAGTACACAATTTGCATCTAATTTAGTAAAATTTGGCATGCTGACACCTTATATTGCCGGTCAAACAACAGGTTACTTTTCATCCCGAAAAATGCACGGTTCCCGTGAGATAGGTCTGCTTGTGCTTTTCTAGAGGCGAACCCGAGCGAAGCGAGGGTGAGCCGCTAGTATTTTATAAGTGCGCGAAATGAGAGTCGTGGAGGATCGTTATTATATAGTGTTTACGCGTTCGGCGCTCGCGGCTCTCTGCCTGGTCGAGCCACGCCGTCGCTCAAGCGTTCGCGGGCGAGCGCGGGCACCCAAACTATGCGGCCGCACCAAAACACGGCTCGACAGGATTGTACATGATTCGACACGATACCCCGCGATCATCGTTGTTTCTAAAAACCCCGCGTTACAAGACAAAAACGACTTTCAGGCACTAAAATGTAATAAATAACTAAACGGAGGTTTTCATTTAGAAAAGATACCTACCTATTAACTAATCAGATATTTTTGAAGTCGGTGCCAGCCGACAATATTTTAAGATATGAATATCTAATAGGTAAATATTTATCGCACGTATCGAAATATATTAGACTAGCGGCTCACCCTCGCTTCGCTCGGGTTCGCCTCTAGAAAAACTCTAATAGAGATCTATTAGTTCCCACGGGAACCGTTCATTTTTCCGGGATGAAAAGTAACCTGTTGTTTGACCGGCAATATAAGGTATCAGAAAGTTAAATTTTACTAAATTAGGTGCATAAGTTGTTGTGTACTAAGATGTATAAGATACTATAGTTTTTTAACTATCCCACGGGAACTCTTTAATTTTCTTAAATGAAAAGTATTTAAGATGTTGACCGGGGATATAGGAGACCACCATGCAAAATTTCATTTAAATCGGTCCAATAGTTTCGGAGATTAGCCCGTACAAACAGACAGAGAAACAAAAAAATTGAAAAAAATCTGGATTTCTTTTATTTTTCTTCTTACGGGATGTAAAAAGATAACTGACTCGGTTTTTAGCATTTTTTTGCTATGTACAGACACTACCTCTACTGTTTTATTATATATATATTAGATAGATATATTAGATATTAGATTTGCTTTGCATCGGCTGGCACCGACTTCGAAAATATTTGATTAGGTACCTATTCTAAATGAAAACCCCCGTTTAAATATTTTTTACATTTTAGTGCCTAGAAGTCGGTTTTTATTTATTTTTTTATAATTTTTATATTAAGTCCTATGTGGTTAGAAAGAAGGTCCAATAACAAAATTTTGAGTTGTATTAACATTCATATAAGGTTACTTTTCGTAGTGTGTTTAATATAGTCGCCAACGTTTAAACGAAATATGCTTGAAAATGTAAGCATGCTGTGTAGCGCTTTTTAAAAAAAACATGCTTTTTCAAGCCCTTATCGTTTAAACGTCCACGTGTACTCCTCAATCATTTCATATCATACTAGTGTTGGGCTTGTCTGCACTTCTTCTTCTTCACTTTCCGGGTGTGTATATAGGTGTCTTTTGCAACTCGATACAAAATATTGATTTTTTCTCTATATGCAAATAGAAACATCCTCATTACGCACGGGTGCTTAATAGCAATGTTACTCCATGTCATAGTTTATCAATTTACTAAATTTCATCTAAATCCGTTCAAACATTTTATGTATAGGAGTATATATATACTTTCATATTTATAATGATAGTCCGATTTAAAATAGTGGTATAAATTTATTAATTCTTTTAGAGATTGAAAAAATGTATGAGTAATATGTGTACGCCTGCCCGCAGCGAGGAGGACGTGATGCGCGAGTCCATCTCTGCGCTGACGCAGTGCGCGGGCGCGGCGGCCGGCGCGCACATGCGCGCGCGCGCCGTCTGCGTGCACGCCGCGCTCAAGCTGGCCGCGCGTCTGCTGCGCGCCGCCGAGGCTCGCGGCGACCGCGCTCTCGTGCTCGCCGTCAGTATACACCCACACACACATTTACATGTGACAATAAGAACTATAGGCATAGTCTTCTAATGCATTCAGTTGTCTAACAATGGCTTCGTACAGGGTCATTCCAGATTCACACAACATTCACACCGTCTTTTTATTTGTTTTATTTTTAAGCGTCTAAATTACGTGTAATCTTAAATTTTTCACCAATAAGTGACACATGTTCAGCTTTTTTCATAAATATTAATGATATTTAAAAACATACTATTTTCACTTTTGCATTTGAAATGAATTCTTCCATACTCTGGCGGAACTCATATACGGTTCTCATGCAGTTGGTGCGGTGTATGTATGTCAGGTACTGCACGAGACGCTGGCGGGCATGCGGCCGCTGCTGAGCAGCGAGGACATGGAGGTGCAGGAGCGCGCGCACAACGCCACGGCGCTGCTGGCCGCCGTGCTGCGCCGCCTCGCGCCCGCCGACCCCGCGCTGCCCGACCACGCGTCCGCCGTCGACACGCCCGCCGTCGACACCCTCGTCGACCACGACCAAAGGTACTGTATAGGCTTAATTCAAAAGCCATAAAGATTGTAAAAAAAATATATTTCACCTTTCTTTAAATCACACGCATATTCCCTATTATTATCTGATTACAACAAAACATATTACTTAAGTATTCGTTAGTTCGTTGATAACACAAATTTAATTCATAATGTATAGTGATAAGGCTATATAGCCTGCTCAATAATATGCATTTAATGAAAAATATTCTTTTCTTCCTTTATAGCAATGGAATAGACATTGTTGAAACTATAGTGAATGGAGAAGAATCTAGCGAAAACATGAGCGGAGGACTTATTGAGGAGCTCGCAAATCTCTTTGAGGGAGAACTAAAACCCGTCGCACCCAAGGCACAGAAAAAAGTACCAATGCCGGCCGAGTATGTATACAAATTTATATTTTTTATTTATCAAATAGTTCATAGTTTTGTTTTTTCATGTTACTTTTGTACTAAAATTATACTCAACGTTGATTATGAGTAAATATTTAGTTTTGTTTACATTGTACTTATTTACCGTGATTCAAAGCCTGCATTTATTAATAATAATCTTAAAAATTCTGAATGATGTTTTACTGTTTGAAGTTTACCTTTTTTGACTATCTATTTTCGCGGTGCTACGTCGTCTTGCTCAGCTTGTTTTGACCATATTAAGGTACTTCAGCTTATAAATTAAAAAAAAAACAAATTCAATTTTTGAAGTAAATGAAATATGACACATGAAAGGAAAATGTCAAAACCGCGCCCCGAAAAACCGTCATAATTGCCATAGTAATCGCTTACATTAGGTTGCTACAGTCACCGTTGTTATTGTCTGAAAAATGATATGTATGATATTCTTTGCATTGCTATCTTAAAATATTACTATTTTTACTAATTTGTTTTCAAATATGCAAAATATTTATAACTAGTGGCTGCCCTTGCCTCGCTCTGTTTCGTCCCTTGGAGTATATGCGATGGACGTAAGAATCCAGCTAGATATAAAATATTATTCTCTCCTCTTTGTGTGATATTCGTTGAATCATATTTTTGTCTGAGTGTAATATTAAAAGTGTTTATTAATTTATTAATCTTTAAGATTTTAAATATAAATAGCCAACGAAACACTTCTAACACGTTTCCATAGAAACTTAATTTTTTTCTTCCTCTACATATAACCAAATATGTAATTGTAAATTGCAAATATTATAATTCATATTGTTATCCCACAGTTTGGATCTGAACCAGTGCTTGTCGCGGGACCGCTGGTCCTCGGACAGCTCCAGCTCCGAGGGCGAGGAAGACACCGGCGTGATATTCGCGGCGGCGCAGCCCGACGCCAAGCCCGTCACACAGTTCACGCCTGAGGAATTAGAAATGGTATATTTTCTAACGTGATTACCACTTAGGCTTACAGTAAAGGAAAACATCGTGAGGAAACCTGCATGTCTGCGAGAACCTAGCAAGTTTTCGAAAGACGTGAAGTCCGCCAACCCGCACTTGTCAGCGTGGTGGACTATGGCCTGATCCCCCTCGTATTGAAAGGAGGCTCGCGCCCAGCAGTGGGACGTTAAAAAAAGGGCTGGATACACTATTTATATTTAGATAATTGTTTATTGTTATAGATAAACTTAAACAGCAAAACCTTATCTAAATACAAAATTTGATCCATATCGTTCGAGTCGTTTTCAAAATAGACGAAATAAATGTATATATAAATATACTAGCTGTACCCGCGGCTTCGCCCGCGATCAAACTACTAAAAAAAACAAACCCTTTGTCACACCGACAGCAGCGCCACCTACCGTGTACAATTGTGAATCTAAACCATTCCCAGATCCCCTTGAACACACACAAAAAAATTCATCAAAATCGGTCCAGTCGTTTGAGAGAAGTTCAGTGACATACACACTCACAGAAGAATTATATATATAAAGATAAGAATTGCTCATTTAAAGTGATTATTTTAAAATAGATTGCTGTGCCAGCGGTCGCGGGTTCGAGTCCTTTTGTACTTCAGTCGTGGGTGTTTATATTTTTATAACTAGCGACTCGTCCCTTGCTTGCTTCCCAATACAGACTTTCATCCCCCTTTTCACACCGTTAAGGGATGTTTTCCGGGATCAAAAGTATCTTATGGATTTTCCAGGGTCTCAAACTTCTTACTAAATTTCATCTAAACCGGTTCAGTAGATCTAGAGATTACCCCCTCCAACGTTATAACTCTCAACCTCTCAAACTTTTCCTCTTTATAATATTAGTATAGATGTGTATGTATTTAAAGTTATATATGTGTAGTGTATCAACTATCTGGTATCCATAACACAGGCCTCGTAGTAGGTTACCATGGAACTAGATGGTGCTGTGTGTTAACGTGCCAACATATTTATTCATTTTATGTAATGTGTAGCTGCGCGAGGCGCGCCGCCAGGAGCAGGCCAACAACCCGCACTACCTGAAAGACGAGTCGCCGCGCTCGTACCACGACGACGTGCCCGTCGCCGAGATCGCGCTCGAGGTGCCGCTCAAGGTGCAGAGTGAGTATACTCTGTGCTACTGCTGTGTGTGCTGCTCACCTAATTGTTCAGCGCTGCCAATTGACGGGTAAATTACCCGAAAAGTGGGTAATTTTAGACGATTTTTGATGTCGGGTAATTTTGACGGTGACGGTTTTTGCATTGAGCGGGGTCAAAGCAAGTATTTTAGTTCAACCGATTATTTTGATATTTTTTTTGTTTGATTTTAAAAAATTGGAACTGTTTAATTGAGAACTGATTACAATGATTTCTTATTCTAACATTAGTACCTCCTTTTATTCTGTATAAAACACGAATAAATTAATTTAAAAAAAACTCGTGGTTGGCGCAGGCGGGATAAACCGGATATTTTGAGGTTTATTGGTCGGGTAAATAATAGATAGTTATCTGGCAGCCCTATTAATGTTATATATAATTATTTCTTATGTCTCAAACATGGCAAGTATACAGTTCACTTGAGTGTAAACATATCGCTCGTAATACAAGGCGTGTCAATTGTGCATTGTGACCCTAGGGAAAGGAAGCGAGGGTGGAGAAAAGGCATAAATCTCTTATTTGGAAATCAGTCAATTGGAACAAATATTGATATTATAATTAGAGTTTTTGATACAGTTGTATACATGTAAGCATAAATATGTAAATTTTTAAAATTACCAAATTTTTTTAATGATTTGATAAATTAAACTTCATCTATAAATAAATGTGTAATAATGTTTAAAAAAAATATTATAATATTCACATTATCTATAAAGAATATAGTTTATAACCATTATTGTATAGTATTTTGTACTTTTGTTTATATGTAAACATTAACTAGCTTATTAATTTTAAATCATTGTTTCTTTTTCAGCTAAGAGATCTGATAAGTACTTAATTACAAAGGAGAATTCCAAGAAATCTAAAAAAGAAAAGCGAACGTCAAAGAAACGAAAGAACAAAACTGAAAGAAATTCCTCGGAATCTGACAGTGATAGTTAGTATTTTTTTAAATTTAAATTTGATATAAAATATAGTCCTCTTTAATATTATAGTTACCAAATGTCTGTTTGTCAGAATGATGGGTGCATGAACGATATCTAAACGTTTTTGTACACGGAACCGTACTCTGGATTTGTGCCAATGACAGATTTATTTCATTAATAATGTAGGCGCAATCTAAGTTGACCCGAACAACTAGTTAAAGGTTTGTTTCGTCAAGCAGTCACGCATTTGAATTACTCAAGTTCCCGCCTCTTGTTGCCATTTAGTCTCTAAAAACGTTAATTACGATGCTACTTGCGCTCACGTGGACACTTGTGAACTGTCACATGTTGCTGATGTCTGTGAGTGACTATAGCTATTAGGCACTTATCATTAAGTGGATATTTTGTTCATTTGCCACCTTTTTTTTATGAAAAAAAAAACCAGGCGGGGATGAGTTGCACAGCGATTAGTTTAATGTTAACTTTAGTTTAAAAACGTTAATGTAAGCTTTTTCTTTTTTGGCCTAGTTTTTTGGAAGATAAGGTTAAGTGTTACACATTCATTCTTTTAACTTGAACCGTCAAAGGAAATGACGTAACTGTGTGTAACGCTCGTGTGTGTGTGCGCAGTGTCGGCGGGGCGCGGCGCGCGGCCGGCGGTGGCGGAGGGCGGCGAGCTGCCCGACGGCGCCGCGCCCTCGGACGACGAGCCCGCGCCGGCCGACGACGTGCACCGCGCGCTCGACCTCGACCTCGACCTGTGAGTACCCACCCACCCTTGTTTCTTTAATTCGTGAGAAAACCGCGACAGACTACCCACTAACGAGACAAGGCTACGGGATCGTTTGCACATTCGACCGCGACCTGTGAGTACAGTAGAATCGCCCTAGACAAAATACACATTTCCGATTTAATGTCATTTGGATAGAGTTGAAAATTGGTATAGGTCTTTTGTATTATAAATAAAATATCAATGAATCGATCCCATGTTTGTTAAAGATATTTAAGGTCATATAGTTTTTTGCTTTGATCTTGTAAACAGTGAGTGTTTTCATGATAAAAACTTTTTAACAAAAAAATAAAAACCGACTTCAAACAAAAGCACTAAAAAGTAAAAAATAACTGATTGGTAGTTTTCATTTACTATACATACTTAATCAAATATTTTCGAAGTCGGTGTGCTTTGCTTTGTATGGGCTGGCACCGATTTCGAAAATATTTGATTAGGTATGTATTTAATAGGTAAGCTTTAATTACTTAGCCAAAGCACACCGACTTCGAAAATATTTGATTAAGTATGTATAGTAAATGAAAACTACCAATCAGTTATTTTTTACTTTTTAGTGCTTTTGTTTGAAGTCGGTTTTTATTTTTTTGTTAAAAAGTTTTTATTTTTCCCTTTTTAGTGTAGACAGTAGTAGCAATGTAAGGATTCTAACATGTTAGGCTTTTCAAATCAAACAAAATAAGCCCAAACTCAAAGTATCTACTATTAGCCGTTGAAGAGTTCCACCTATCCACCTTCTGGCCTTGCCATCAGATCAGGTCAACAACACCGAACCACTTTACTATCAACGGAAATAGAAATACTTGCAAAGTTTCAAGTCAATATGATATTAGAAGTAGGTTAAATTCATCATTAGTTGTTTTTCCACCCTTAGGGGTGGTATTTTTTTTTTTAAATTTAAATGGGACCAATCTGGAAGTATACCCTTTCAAACAAAACAAAAATTGTCCAAATCGGTTAATAAATGACGGAGTTCTGAGGTAACAAACATAAAAAAAAAAAAAAAAAACATACAGTCGAATTGAGAACCTCCTCCTTTTTGAAGTCGGTTGAAAATAGATCAGATGATAGATTGAAAATCATACACATGTCTGCACAAATTGTTCTAGTACTTATTTTCTTTTGAATCAATCTTGAGACATTTATAATAGTATACTAAACAAAAGTTACTCTATTTGGACTGAATTAAATATTGAACTTCTGAGCTTGTGTTTTGGACTGGAATAACAGTATTCAATTTTTCAAGGAAAAGAAATCAAACTTCTGTCTTATATCTTTCTCTAGCTAGGTCAACCCCATTTGCCATTTGAGAGGAGGAAATAGAGAAAAATCCACTCAGAAATCAATCACTACTCACTATATTTCATTTTCTCACTGTGCTTATATTCGTATAGTTATTAAAATAAATACGTTTAACATATCTTAGGCCACTTCGAGAAGAAGAGTTGCTTGCGACGAGGATACAACAGTATCCGTCACCAGAGGGCGGTCTATTGAATAAGAAAAAAGAATCAAAGAAAAATAAATCATCAGAAAAGAGATCATCTGGAAAATCTGGCCATAAGAAAAAAGTAAAAAGCTCTAAGCATAATAAGGAAGTAGATCTAATGTTACCTGAACTCGCCATCAATGATGTAGAGGAAACCCAGCTTATAGAAACTGGAGAGGGCAACTCTAACAAAATGACGCTCGACGCTAGCATTGCCGCTAATGACAAACCTCGAGAGAAAGTTAAGACTGAAAAACATAAGAAGTCGAAAAAAGAATCTAAAGATAAGGAGACGAAGAAGAATAAAACTTCCAAGAAAGGTATTTTCATGTAATTAATTAATATCCGCTATTTTACACCAAAGCTGTAGTAGGTATTTCGTATGATACTAGCGACTTACCCGCGCTTCGCTCGGGTGCGTCCCTAGGTACGTTTTATTCTTTTTGAGCCTAAACCTACCTCGAACCTAAACCCTTATTCTTTTTCTAAAATAAAAGTAGACTAAGTTACCCCTTTTAACATCATCTACAATTAAAGTCGTTTCGGAGATTAGTCGGAATAAACAGATAGACAAAAAATTTTAAAATTGAGTTTTTCTTATAAGTACCATATATGATGATGTTCTCACCATATATAATTTCATATCGACGGTTAAAAGGTAATAGGTAATAAGCGACATTTTGGTCGCAAATGAGTTATGAATGCCATCCTACTTAAAATTTTTAATCTTTTTCGAATGCGCTTACTCCCATGTCTCTACGATGGCTTTTTCGTCACTTATGCCCAAGCAAAAAACTGCGTTTTCGAAGTGTCATTTTGGTCTAACCGACCGAGTTTTAGGCCTTATTTACCCTAAAGGCACTTGTACCCCTATAAAAATGGTATCAATTTTGGTTTATAGTCGGTAAGGTATTTTACTTCTTACTAGCATAGAGATTCCGGGCGCTTAAGACTTTACAATTAGCACCGGTTTTGAAAGTTGGAACTAATGCCTCTTTACCTTTTTCGTCAAAAACATTAAGCGTCGGTTAAGCCTTACTACCATTTTCAAGTTTAAAATACAGTTGTCGCTTATACGCAATTACTAAATCTTATTTGATATTAAACTGTCGGTTATACCTTACTACCATTTACAAGTTTACGATATAGTTGTCGCTTATACGTAATTACTAATATGAAATTTTATATTAAGGTGTCGCGTATATCCATTTACCATTTACTATTTTAATACTACGTTGTCGCGTACGCAGTATTACTTTATAATGATTATTTGTTAATTGGTGCTTACGCTAATATTAATGACTTTGTAGTACTCAAGTACCTATTAAGCGAGTCGCTTATTCCAAAATCAGACCTAAGGCGGAGGTACCTATCAAATAAGCCATGGGTATTCTAAACCTTAGCTATGTTATCAATAAGCGTAGTTACAATAAGCTTAATAACCTACATTATCATAGCTTACGAGTACCTACTACCTACGTCCTCCCCTAAATACTTTCGTCTGCAACCTTCCCAATCTCTGGAGCCTAGCTTATTTACATACTCGTAATGTATCTACAAAGAATAGTATTCGAAGAAACTCGCCTTTATAGCCTACCTTCACGTATCTACATACTTACCAGATATATTCAACTTATTTTATTATATTATTAGATTATATACTTACTAACCTTTTTTAATGCTGGGAAATGCATTTACGAATACCACTTTAATACATACATGCGGTTATGTGGGACTCACCGGCTAGAAACGTCTCAATGGGGCGTCGCAGGATCGAATTTTAAAGGAGAATCATGTTGGTTGTGATTCTATTATTTTAAGACGTGATGTTTAATCCACGTTACCATTTGCTCAGATAATGCCGTAAGTTGGATGTTCTCGTTTTCCTCTTGGTATAGAAATCTTGATGTGTGGAAGTACCACGTTACCTTGTTGTTCAATTCACTTACAGTTTAACTAATGTCTAACATCCTCACAATGTTTTTGCTAGGCACTGTATCTTATGTTTCATTACGTTCTGGCATAATTATGTGAATCGTCACTTGTCCTTCTTTACCCATTTAAGTTATTCTACTGTCATGTGACTTATGCCCTATTACCTCTTGGTATGAGGATATCAAATGTAGCTAAGGCGTCTATACTCTTCGTTTTTTTATGTGCACATGTAACGTACGCCGAATTACCTCATAAGAACAATAAGATCAATTGGTATAAGCGGCAAAAATCAACATAAAACAACGTCGAATCATATAGATAAAAGTGCCCATTATTGCCTTTATTTCTCTTGATTCTAGAACTGTTTCCTTTTTTACGATATGACAATAAATAAAAAAGTTATGTCCATTTTTCTGCAATTTCAAACTTTAAACAGCTCTCCTGAACAATTTCGTTTTTGTTGCATATACCTTATTACCTTTTAACCGTCGATATGCATTTAGTAAAAAACTTATATTTTTACATTACAAACAGTTTAACAGACACTTCAATATTATTTATCTGTATAGATGAATATATAATATACTTGTTGAATTTGATATTCGGTAACTTTATTTTACAGGTAAACATGAAACAAAAGTAGGATACGAGGAGGCACTAGGTATTTCCACGCCCAGCAAAGAAGTTATATAGTGTAGGCTCAAAGCAAGCAAGCCACTACACTCCTCTCTCCAGGATCCTCCTCACACGCTCTCAGTGCAATTTTGTTTGAAGTTTTATTAGTTAGATTCATATATACATATAGGAAATGTTTTCATTCGTCTTAAATGAAACGTGTCCATTTAAATAAACGTATATTTCTATTGATGTAGACTAATAAATATGTATAATCATGTACAGTTTTATTGGAGAATATTTAAATAAGATTTACGAAATAAAAGCTATTCATCTACGCGTAAATTTGTATTTTTAAATTCATAACTTTTATATGTATATAATATATAAAGAAAAAGCGTTATAATTTTTTTTTAACAAGTAATTGAAGCATACAATTTTATAGATTATTTCTTTAATTTTGCACACGACGATTTACTTCTTCCTTCAAGGTTCTTATAATGAATTGCCACCTGAAGATATTATTAAATTGAGTATTGTATATTAACTAATAATATTCATATTAATTATTCATAATGTAAATTAAAAATATAAATTTGTAACAAATTAAAAAATAAAGACAAGAATTTATAAAATTAACAAAAAAACTTATTTGGAATAGAGATATTTTTTCTTAATCGCGCGCATATATGAACAATACAACGTTTACTTGAGCAATAAATCTGTTGACTTGCAAACATTCATTTTGAATGGTTGAATACATCTTAGAGGCAAACCTTGAGTTTCACAAAAATGCTTGTCGACTACAAACAACCTCGCGCATGTGTACTTCTTTTACTTATCTATACATATAATAAAATTGAGCCGAATCTTATCATTATCGATACAGAGGCCGAATCCATTGTTTTTAGAATTTTTGTGTCCGTCTGTCGTTACCGCATCACAGAAAAACCACTGGAGGGATGTTGATAAAATTTGGTATGGTGAAAGCTGGTTATCCTGGTCAACATATAGGATACTTTTTACCGCGGGAAAATGTCTCATTTAAGAAAAAATACAAAAACTGCAATGTAAGAGTATACTAATATGTAAAACCTAAGAATCTGGTTTTTGTTAATCTGAACGCGGGCGGAGCCGCGGGTAATGCTAGTTTTAATATAAATAAAATAACCTGATTCACTAGTGCTCACAATAACCTTTTTCTAATATACTCTACTTGAACTATGCTATTCTAAACTTCAACAAATGGTGGATTTAATAAAACTACACAAAATACGATTCAAATAAAATTTATTACTGTCCAGCCATTGTTAACCGCCCAAAATAAATATAACTTGGACAAATCAATTATAAACTTATTGTACTTTAATTTTAAGAATACCCATTGACAAATACATAAAGTCGAAGCTGGTTCACTATATACAAAGGAACATACTGTACAATTGTACAAAATACACGATTATTGCGCTGATACACGTCCGAGGGCGCGCTCGTCGTAGACTAAGCGGATCGCCCTATAAAATAACAATTCGAAATTTTACAGTATTTGTAATATTTACGTCATTTTCATTTACTCAATATACCTTATAGTAATGGGTAACATCAATACTATAAATGGTTAGGAAAGCTAAACAAATATCAAAAAATATGAGTACATTTAAAATGAACAAATAAATATAATGTTCAATAGGAATAAACTATCAACATTAAATGTAATACTTACTCTAAATCAATAAATAACATGAAAAACGGCATATTTCAGACGACTTTTGTCATCGGCTTACAATAGTTAATTGTTTGGCATATTCACTTCTATTTAGAGTATAAACTGGGTGCTTTTAATATCTAAGTGTAAACATTTTAGATAAAAAGTTGAAGTAACTTAATGTGATTAATTTATGATTATTTTAATACAACATTAAACATTTAATAAATACATGAATCAAAAATAATAATAATGAAACAATTTGTTCCTAATATCTACATGTCAAACTAAAATGAATAAATAACACAGCTGACTTAATCTTACAAATAGCGTGCTCACGCGACATGACTACAGCGTGCGGTGAGCGGAACAAGCACTTTAAATAGTAGAAGTAGTATTCGATTAAGGATATCTAAATATGTATGAGATTAATAGGATGTATACACATTGTTGTTTACTTACACAGAAATTCGTGCACAGATTAAATGTGGGAAATTAAAATATATTAATAATACCTTATAAACAGGGGTGTTATAAAATAAAACTGTAAGAAACTATTTGATTTTCAAATATTCTGAAGGACAGACAACATTTCATATAATCTGTGTGTATGGCAACACATAATCTGTGCACTGGATGTCGCTACCAGTGTTCACTTCTCGAGCATGTATCGGGGTATATCGAACTTGACCTCGACTCCGGCCTGCTTGGCGAGCGCCACGATCTCCGACAGCTGCACCACCAGCTTGGCGGCCTCGTCCAGGTCGTCGCGCGGCACGATACGCAGGCCCGAATCCGCTATCAGCTTACGAGCTTCGTTCACTTTTGTACCCTGCAATAAATACCATACATAATTATAACAAGTATAGTTTGGAAAACAGACTTGAGCATCTGCATGTAAGGGATTTGTTAAAACTAATGCCACACGGAAACTATGATCTTACGTAAGGAAATGTATTTAGGCATACCACCTGCATACATACAGGTGTTATGAACAAATACATGGACACACCGGCAAAGCCGGGTCTACCCACTAAAACCCAACGGTACCTCCCCAGTCAATGGGGCGTCACATACGCATTCAACCACGACGCCCCGACGGCAGGTCTGCCGAAGCAAATCACAACCCCCCACACGACAAGGTGAACGTACATTGGAGGAGACAGACTAGGACCTGGACTAACATATAAGCTAGTGTTTGGCACTTATGGACCCGTTTGAATCATAAAAATTAGAGAATATACTACACTTTCCTACGTATATAATTTTTAATCTTCAATTCCTTCCTTCTATTGTACATAATAAATGTAAACAGATCATTACCTTAGTCCCATTAATTAATACCCTATTACAATAAACTTATCTTTATGAGAGTCAAGGTTAATTTCATAAGAATAATAAGTCACTCTACTAATGAATATTTGTACAGATTTTTCAACAGTATAGCTTTATAAAATTTTTAAATAAAACTATATTTTCGGATTTTTTCGCGGATTTATTTTGATTTTTGGTTCCAAATATTTAAAAATAAATCCATGAAAAAATCCGAATTGATAGTTTTATTTAAAATGTCAAATATTCGCGTAAATCTAAGACAGTAAGTACAACATTATTTGGAGTTATGTATTAAATTTGAAGAATACACTTCCAATAGTGTACACTTGATATTTGCTGAATACTATTAGAATTTCCTATTCTTCAAATAAATTAAGCCTTTAGTCCTAAAGGTTACATTCGTAATCGTAATATTTTTCTTAATTCATTGAATTTAATATTACACACGTTTTTTTATACTATTCAGAATTAGTGCTTGACTATGTACCACCTGATGGTAAGTGGTACCGCAGTCGTTGATGGTAAGTCGCACTAATTCAGTAGCCACCTATACACTCTTGCCTTGAAGACCCATATTGTACCCACCCATATTGTAATCGGACGGAAACACTGACGCAGGCAGGTTGTTCCAATACTTAGCCGTACGTATAATAAATGACGTAGCGAAACGCTTCGTGCGGACGGGTGAGAATCGTATCTTGTTGTATGGTAGTTAATATATTAATTTGAAATTACCTGTAGACGAACGATAACTGGTATTTGAATGTTGAGATTTTTGGCAGCGTTGATGATGCCCTCCGCGATGACGTCACAGCGCATGATGCCTCCGAAGATGTTCACCAAGATGGCCGTCACTTTGGGGTCTGATAAGATAATCTTGAAGGCTTCCTGGTAACAATCGTTATACATAGATATTATCTCTCAAGATTTGACTTACGAATAAAATTATTATCAATACATTTTATAGTTAAAATAATAAGTTACTTAGCAACTTGCTTAAACTCAAAATATTTTTTTTTGTTTTGTAAGGAAATCTGCAAGCAGTATTTACTTTTAGCAGATTTATTCTAAGATTTAAAAATCAGAATATAGGAGAAAAGCTAGTGATTAATTTTAAATAACCAAAAAGAAAAAAAAGGCCCTAATAATTATGATCGAAAGGTATGATTTTTTTACCTACTGTAATATTCTCAAGAGGTACAGTATATAAGTCTTAGATGGATAGATGTCTTGGGGTAATGAAGTCGCAAAAAAAAAAACTGACCGTTGAGTTGCTTTATTAGCGTGTGCTGCCTAAACGATTTGAATTGAATTACTAAAATGTATGGCAAAAACACCTATGCTCATTCATATCCGAGTGACCTGGGGGTAAGTCGCTAGTCTATATATAATTTTAAAGAACAGTTTGATGTCGCTTACCGAGACGGCCTGCGCAGTGGCGCCGCCGCCGACGTCGAGGAAGTTGGCGGGGTCGCCGCCGTACAGTTTGATGATGTCCATGGTGGCCATAGCCAGCCCCGCGCCGTTCACCATGCACCCGATATTGCCTGTTCATCGGACTATTATTATAATTTTGTTTAAAGTATGTTATGTGTACGTTTATTAATTAGTTCTTCACACTAAAACGGCGAACGGATTTTAATGAAATTAAGAATACAGATAGACTGACCTGCAGTAAAACAAAGACTGTACTGTACTGTTTGACCCAGGAAAGCACCCGAACAAAGGTCGCTAGCATGTACATACATAAAATATTTTCTTAACTTTTTGTACTAAATCCCTCTATGACCCATAGGTCATATAGGGATTTAGATAGTGTCATATCACTCTCATCGTAATAAATTAAATTTGTCCATAAATATTATGAGCATGTTACTACGTGAAAGAAGAGAAAAAATATACACATTATGATATTAATCAGCAACAAATTAACTTTGATAAAAAGTTGGCCAAACTCCAACGCATTGTTCGTGCGTGATTTATAATGACCCTTGGTACAGAAATGAAATAAACTGAATTAAAAACATTTTATATATCTATTCACAGCCAAACCAATAGACCACTTTTTATACAAAAAGAAAGATTTCGCCTGTACACGGTATACTCCTTATAAATTGCAGTTACTTAATCAATCGAACTAAGCAAAGATATTATAAATCAAACTAGCGACTCACCCTCGCTCCGCTCTGTTTCGTCCCTACTTACGTTTTAAGATTTAGTATCGATTTCTCAGAGATGACATATTTTCTCACAGTAAAAAGTATCCTATATGTTGACCCGGATAAACAGCTATCATCATACCAAATTTCATCAAAATCACTCCCGTGGTTTTTCCATGATATGGTTACAGAGACAGACAGGCAAAAATTCTAAAAATTATAGATTCGGCGTCTGTATCGATAATAATGTCTATTTTAATAATATTTTCCAAAGAAATATTTAATGTACAGATTTTACTTAATTACAATTTTATTATAGAAAACAAATGTATGTACACCATCACGGGCTTTTAAAATCGCTTCTCAGGATTACTTTCTCTACAGTAAAAACCAAGTGCCATTGTTACCATTTTTACTAGACCTATACTATATACAACAGTTGATAATTTTAAATAAAAGTATCTTTTCGGATTTTTAACGGATTCATTTTGATTTTTGATTTCCGGCGTTTGTCTGTAACAAGTATATAATATGACCTTCGAGACGATTAAAACCTTAGTCTCTCCCGTGACCATGAATGCTTTAGAGCATTCGAAACGTCCGCGTCGGGAACCAAAAATCATCAGTTACTCTTTCACGCCAGAACGGCTGAACAGATCTGGATGAAATTTGACACAGATATAGATTAGTCTGGAATAACACAAACGCTACTTTTTATCCCGGAAAAATATACGGTTCCCGAGGGATAGATTTCTTTTTGTTTTTCCATAGACGAACCCGAGCGATGCGAGGGTGAGCTGCTTGTTGTTTATAAAATCATTATAGTACTTAATACTCTTATGAACTAATTTAAGATAGAGAAGGAGTTATTGCGATATATTTCCATCTCTTTCTTAAATGTTTTATAAAGATAACTATTATTATTTTTTCCTCTTCAAGTCACATCCTCGATACATGTACAATGTAGGTACATATTATAGTAATTGACTAAGCTAATATACTCAAGGTCGTATAGTATATTAATAGAATATTTATATCTTATTATATAATATTAATAGAAGATAATAGTCATATTTCGCAAATTATTGAACTCGCAATGTATTAATGATACAATACAACATTTAAGAAAGTTATTGGGATATATCTCCATCTCCTTCTCTCTTTTCTTTTGACATATGACATTTATAAAGGTAACAACTATTATTTTTTCCTCTTTCAACTCACGTGCTCGATACATGTACAATGTACATCTACATACACATAGTTGACTAAGCTAATATACCCAAGGTCGTCTATTATATTATTAGGATATTAATATCGAATGTTAATAGACGGTAATATGCAAGTCATATTTCGCAATTAATTAAACTCGCAATGTATTATGATATACAACACTAGCAACTCACCCTCGCTTCGCTTCAGGTTCGTCCCTAGACTAAAACGAATTATCCCACTGGGAAAGTACATTTTTTGGGGATGATAGATAGCTTATAACCTTCCTCAATAAATGGGATATATCTAATGCAAAAGGAATTTTTCAAATCGGATTAGTAGTTCCGAGATTAGCGCGTTCAAACAAACAAACGAATTCTGCCTCTTTATAATATTAAGTATATAGATATGTCAAACAAAAGGACATTAAACAGTTTCCCTGTAAATTTTATTTTTAGAGCCTTAAGTAAAGATAAATCAATTTACAAGTTCTAATAAATCTATTGAGATAATAATAAATGTATAATAAATATTTATGGCTATTGGAGATTACTTTTTACAATATTTACATAATATAGCTATACTATATGTAAATACTAGCAGAACCCGCGACTTCACTCGCGCTTAAACTACAAAAAAAACTCTATGGTTTATGGTCCATAAAGTGTTAAGGCTACCTTGTGTTTAATTACGTCAAGTAGTTCCCGTGGGATAATCTGTACGGTAACTACGGAGGGCGTGTCACTAGTGTTTAGTCGCCTTTCTAACGATTTACTAATGTAAAGTACTAATCCAATTAAGCACCTTCATGAGTACAACAACATTTACCTACGTTCTATGTATATAAAACAAAGTCGGGTTTGTTACAACACTTATAACTCGAGAGCTGCTGGAAGGATTTTCATGGTTTTTAATTTGTTGGATTTGTCTCCGCCCAGAATAGCAGAATAACTATTAAAACATCAGAAACATTCAAGAAAAAAACTATATGGCTTGATATCTATTTAAAACGTACCTAGGGACGAATCCGAAGGAAGCGAGGAAGAACCGCTAGTATAAAATAAGTGACATTTACTCTACAACATTGAGGTCAAATCAAACAATTTCTAGACATATCACATAAATCTTTTCGAGTTAGATATCACAGGTTCGATGCTGGGTCCCTTATGTAAAAAATCCCACATGTAAAGAAAATCTTCAATGAATTAGGAGCGCTTTTCTTTACTTGATATCTTATTTTGTAATAGTAAAACTCACCATCTAAAGCAATGTAGTTGAGATCGAATTTGGCGGCCTCGATTTCTTTAGCATCCTCTTGCGTGGTGTCGCGCAACTGGAATAGCTCCTTTTGCCTGAACTGGGCGTTGTCGTCGAAACGGAATTTAGCGTCCAAGCAGAAAACTAAAAAACAACAACTAGTATTATAATTGCAAAATAGTTTATCAGTGAGAGTAAAATATCTTTCCAATATAACGGATTTTAGTGTAAATAATACTTTCTTAGATTTACGCGAACATTTTATATAAAACTATCTTTTTGGGTTTTTTCATGGATTTATTTATCTACATTATTATATTATTATTTGTACAAAGTGAATAAATACTTACATTTGCCTGTAACAACATCTTCCGCATAAGGATTGACTTCAATCAGTAAAGCATCCTTCTTTCTGAAGAGGTCATACATTTTTTTAATCATGTCACAAGCTTCAGTTGCATGTTCATGGAGACCAATCTAAAACAATTAATCTCTATAATATATATATATATATATACCCATCTTTTTATATATATATATATATAAAAAGATGGGTTTGTTAGAACACTTATAACTCGAGAACTGCTGGACCGATTTTTAGGATCTTTGCTTTGTTGGATTTTTCTTTACCCCAAATAGCAGAATAACTATTAAAATATCGGAAAAAATCACGAAAAAGCTATTCCATACTAAGCGTCAAAACATACCTAGGGACGAACTTGAACCAAGAAAGCGTGAGTCGCTAGTTTATTGATAAAATGAAGGTTTACACTCATAATTAAAGTAGCAACATCTTGCGTGCTATAAAGGCTCTTATTAATTATAACTATGAACTATATCTATAACAAAGTTTGGTAAAGTAATTCCATTGCTATATGAAAGACAAACAAACAACACACATCTTTGCATTACTAATATTAGGAATACATTATTATAGGAATTAAGGATTACATAACTGGGTGTGGCCCTTTAAAAAAATTAACATTATCATATTAAAACTGAAGCAATTCTTATTATTATTAATTTATAAATATATAATCTTTGTGAGTGTTTCTTACTTAAATAATGACTCAAAAAAAATTAGTGTTTAGTTGTGTAGTGTAATAGTAAGAGTACCTTTTCCACAACACGCGACACTTGGTCGTCGGTGATGCCGGTGACGATGTCGATGGGCTCGTATGTGATCGCGTCCGGGTTCTCTGCCGCTACATCCTCAATATTCACACCACCTTGGGAAGACGCTATTATGACGGGACCCTGTTTAAAATGACAATAATATTATAAATGTTTGGTTTCTGAGTATTTAATAAATCTTCAAGTTGCAAAAGCTCAATGTTTAAAAGAAATTCAGAATGGAGATAGCATACAATATTTTTTATCGACATACCTACCAGGCAAGAGCACTGTGTACACTTTATAACTTAACTGCTAAGGGGTGTGGCTTTACACAAAATCTACTAAGAATAAAATGTAGTTAACCAATCTTTTTTTTTAATTTATAATAGCAAATGTGACAAATAATTCTTCTTTTACTATCTTTTTAGGTAACAGTTTTACAAGTTATTCAAGATTTGACTGTAAGTCCCAAAACATTATGTAAGTAGTAAATATTCAATACCTATAACAAATCATACATCATTATAGGAACAATAATATTAATTAAGGCAGATAAAAACATTTATAGCTTGCCTATACATGGGTAATTAATCAAACAGTAACAAGTACATCAATTGTCACTAATTGCTGATGGAGTATGCCCCTGTATATTTGTTGGAATGATGAACAATTAACCCTAATATCCATCACTCCAACAAATTAACCCTATAAATGTAAATAGAACAAAATATGCTTTCTCATCCAAAGCAATGGTTTCAACATATATTTTGACCACTAAATTATAAAAGGTTTAGATATACATTATATAAAAGAACATAAATACTTACATTAAAACTGCGTTCCATCATAATTGCAACATAAAATTCTCTACGTGGGAATTTCCTCTCAGTCACCATAACCATGTTACAAATCCTTCCTGCTGCACCTGTTTGCTTTGTAACTAAATACTGATTTATCATTTTACCAACAATTTCTCCAGCAGTTTCAGGTCTGAAAATAATTTAAAATAATTGTAAAATATTATATATATTATATAGCATACATTATTTTAGAAATTGTGAAAAAAAATTTATGAGCGACCTAAATTGAGAATTTGCTCCTTTTTGTAAGTCACTTTAACATGATTGATTAGAAATATAAAATTACTCACGTATCAACCATTCTTACACCTCCCTTTAGTCCATTTTTAAAGGAACCCTTTCCTCTTCCACCAGCAAGAACCTATAATCATTTATTTGATGTAAATAGTATAACCTAATTTAATGGAGATCAGAAGACATAAAAGATTAAGTGCATGTCATATTAAATTTTGGGAAAATTACCTGAGCCTTTAATACAATGTCTTTGGTGTTCAGTTCTTGTGCATACTTTACTGCCTCATCCTTGGTCTTGGCAATGTGGAATTTTGGCACAGGAATGCCATTGTCTCTTAGCAATGTGTAGCTCACATATTCATGGACATTTAGGTTGCGGACTTGCTGCTTAGATGGCAGGTTCTTAGATGCTGCGGCTGCCAACAGCTAATTTATTACTTTCATTATTATTTATTATTACTTTAAAAACATTACGTTTATAAAATTTACCTAAACATATAAAAAGGTACATCGCATAATATAAAAATAAACTTGTTAAAATTTTGAAAAGAATTCTGCATCTGTATTTAAATTTCCATGTTTTATGAGATACATAGTATATTGTCACTTGCAAAACATCGTTTTGCTTATCAGGAGTAAATCAAATTCGTACGATAGAAGAGATTCATAGCTAGGCTTTAAGTACATTATCAGATTTAAATCTGCTAAAATAAGAAATAAACATTGCGTATTGATGACGTAAGGTCACTAGAGATGAAAACGACAAGGTCGAATATATAATTACATAAATTGAAACTGAGGATTTACGTAACGAAAAATTATATCCAGAATTCAAAATTAGCGCGATACTGTTTGTAGAAAATACTATATATATGCATTCTGATAACATAGGTATATGGAAGTCCCAAAAAACTTATTCCATAGACGTTGCATTCCAATTTCCATGAAAATAATTTACATGATAGCTACATAGTTAATTGTTTAATATATTGTTATAATACGTACCTTCGTTCCATTTTTTACAAATATAGTTTCAGCAAGACCAAAAGAACGAGGTAGTAAAGTCGCCATTTTTCCCTACATAAAAGTATAACACAATCACATATGACATCGATTATATTGCTACATATAAAAAATATGACAAATATTGCCAGTTAAAATAAAACTTAAAATTGTAAGGTACCTTCTACACTTGCTGACAGCCATGGTTGACAAATAAAACTGACAGCTTGTAAAAAATTCTCTATGCTGCCTACTGAGATGTCAGATGTCAATTTTAGTGTCCTTATCTTTAGGGTTACCAAAATCAATTTTACTAATTCAGTGTAATAGCTCCATTAATTCAGCCGGTGCAATTTTCATTTTAAAAATGATGATGATGATGATGATGTTCTCCTGACCGATTCCAGCCACGGCGGCCAATCTCATTGAGACTAGCCAACTGCGCAGGAGATATTATAGTGCACAAGTATACGCGCAGACACAAGTGCACTCTCTATTCTTGTCACTCTCATACTCTGGTGGGACGACCACTCGACACGACCAGTGAGAGTTAAGGCGCAGGACCGACGGCTTTACGTGCTCTCCGAGGCACGGGGGTGAAACACCGCCAACTTCCCAACTCCGGGCTGTTACTGAGACTTACTATACAGAAAGATTCAATAACTAAATTTGGCCCGACCCGGGACTCGAACCCAGGACCTCCGGGTGTACAGCCGTACATGCTAGCCACTACACCACCGAGGCAGTTTTAAAAATAAGATAATAATCTACCATTAGGTAAGAGTACAGCTTAAGATGAATATAAGAAAGACCTAATTTACACTTATTATGGCTAACACACACCAGTCCGCTCATCTATCGAATTTCGTCCGCTCCTCTTTATGTGCACACTAAATACATCAGGCTAAATTGGTCAGGACAACATTCCCTTTTATATAAAAACTAGAGGTGTTGCGTTTTCTACCAGATAGTACATAAATTATTACTTCTCTTCCAAATAATCTCTGTGGCATGTCATCCTATCGTGTGTAGTATACAAACGTTTTGACTTGAAAAGTCAGATTCAACGTCGGACAAAATCTCGTCGCATATTTGCACCTTTATGTATGTGTCTTTTCATATAAAATCACTAATATAATATCGTTTTATATTTCACCGAAGGAGGAATTTTAATACTTATTAATTTTATACAACTGATTTTGACATTACTCAAAAGATATAAGATATAATAGATCACATAGATATAAAAAAGTGAGCGTTCATACGGCGAGATATCTAGATAGGCCGAACCGATTCATTACTCGATGGTTTATTGGGGGTTGGTAGATTTCTCTAGTAACTGTTTTTAGATCTATCAAAAGCAGTTTATAGTGCATGTGCCACTGTAAGCTGCAGTGTTAGTTAAGAAAAATGTTTATTTTATAAGTACTTTGAGTTTGATATAAAAGTAATATAAATAATTATGGAATAAATTTTGGTTCTAACGGCTAATTCCTTAGACTTGTCGGTAAGGAAACGCATCGCTAATAAGTTTTGGCAAGTCTAATCAAGAAGCACAAGTATCAAATGCTTAGTCTCCAGCATCGACGCATTATCGCCTGTCTATCGATCTTCTATCGGATATACTTTGGGGAGTGCGCGCAGGAACTTCACAACCTTGTGCCCCCTTCACCGTTTTACCACAGAACTGCGAGAAGTCGTGAGCACTGGCATCCTTATGTGGTAGAAATCCATCCAACTCGCACGAAACGCTTCAGTTCTACGTTTCTGAATCGAACTGCTAAGGAGTGGAACACCCTTCCAGCATCCGTGTTTCCTGCCACCTACAATCCAAGTACCTTCAAGGCTAGAGTGAACAGGCATTTTTCTAGGCAAGCGCGCTTCAACCTAGACCTCATCAGCGCTTCCCAGCGCTGATTGTAGTCAAGCGCAAGCCTATCTGTCAATAAAAAAAAAAAAAAAAAAAATCTAGGTAAGCACATGAAATAGTACTTGTCCCTGTTTCCCAATTATAAAGTATAATGCCGTACTTTTGTGCACAGTACTGGGATGTGCTAATGCGTAATTGGAACGTTAATTAGTTTTCAAGTGCACCAGCAGACGGCACTAAGTTCAATGTTGAAAGAAAATTATAACTAAATAATAATATATTTATTAGTTTTATATATAAGTAATAAATATATAATAATATAAATAAAATATAAACAAAAATATTACTAACGATAATATAAATAAAATTTTGATCAATGCCTCCTTGAAGCTTCATATTTACTTATATATTTTTTTGAACAGTTTATATTAACTTTTTTATATTTTAACAGACTACGTCGAAAGTTTTATTTGTCATCCATGGTCGAAAGCTTTACAAATTAGTTCAACAATATACGATGTTACTAACGATAATTGTAAATAAAGCAGTACTTTTCAAAATGCTCGATTATGATTGGTGCGGGCCGTTGCTATAGTTGAAACATTAACATTTGAAATTAATAATATGTCGCATAATGCGGGTAAAAACAGGGTATAACTACAATTCGTGGCACTTATAGAGGAATTTACTATAATTAACCGCTTGAAATATAATTGTAGGTATTCTTATTAAATATCTAATAAGAATCTTTTCTCCATAATATTATCTTATTTGATTTTTCATATGTTCCGGTAAATGTGGTCTCAAAACTTTTTTGTAATTTTGATAGCCCTGACTTGTCAGTTGTCATTTGTCAAATTTGTTTAGACAAAATAGAAATCGTTAGAGTACACACCCATCGATATTACCAATTATTATTAGTTCTTTATTGTTAATAATTCTATGTAATACTTATGTTCACAATATGGGGTCTAAATCAAAAACTGGATTATTTGCTATGAGCTTTTTTATTTTTGCATCTTTATTTATAACGGTGGCTTTTGTTAGTCCTTACTGGTTGGTAACTGATGGAAAGTTAAAAGATCCAAAATTCTTGAGAATAGGTAAAAACTTATTGCTTATAAGATTGTATCAACACAAATATAAATGGTTAGTAGTGTAATACATACTGTAATTGTTTTTTTAGGTTTATGGGAAGTATGCTTTAATGGTTTTCAAGATGTCCATCATTGGTATGATACTATATTCACAGGATGTTGGTGGATTTTCGAAGAAGAATACTATATAATACATGATATCTTACTCCCAGGATTTTTTATTGCTACTCAATTCTTTTTTACAATCTCCATGTGTTGTGTCTTAATATCAATATTCCTGACTTATTTATATTTGAATAAAGATGAAGATGATGATAATTATGTTACACTATTAGTAACTTTTGGCACAATTCTTGTTATAGGAGGTATGTATCAGTTTTTTTATTTTAAATGTATTATTGTCACATAGTTATCTTGAATAAAATGTTATTTTACAGGTTTCTCTGGAATTATATCTGTAGCAATATTTGGAGCTAGAGGTGATGGCCGTGACTGGATGCGTAACTGGGAACACAATGACCTTGGTTGGGCTTTTGCTTTTGGTGTTATTGGTGTCATATTCCTATTTCCAGCTGGTATATTGTTTCTAATTGAAGCTAGAGTTCGAAAGTACAAGAGATTACATGAGATGCAAAGTAGAGAACCCTCATCATATAGCATGCGTGACAGGAAAATGGCCTATCCTGGGCACACTGACATATAAATTAATTCAATTTATATGTTTTTAATACTTTACATATAATAATTAGTGTCTTATTAATGTAACAAATTCCGTCCTTATTAAAAAATCTCATTTGATGGCATTTCTATACATTTGTCATTATACAAAATAGTATTTTTTACAATAATAAATATCTTTATAAGATATTTTGGAGTATTTAAGTGAAATTTTCTTATAAATTCTATGAAATTTTTTTTTAATTATCTCAATAGATTTTACTATACATTAGATTTAATTTTAATAATTAATTAATTGAATATAAAGTAATATTAAATTGCATTCATTCAAGCATATAAAGCTACAAACATTCATTCATCATAGTATATTTTTTTATGCTTCGTTATGATAGTGTAACGGGAGCCCACCTAATATAGTAAGTTGTGTTGTGGTTTACAATTACTGTTATATGGTAGTTTTATAATTTTGACATAAAGCTTTTATAATAATGCTTGACTGTTTTATTTTTCCATTATGATATTATGCCTTGTTAATTCTATGGTATACAGCTACAGGCTTACTTTTGCTTTGCGCGGGTTTGCCTCTAACCGGGTAAACAAAAACAAACCTATCCCATGGAAACCATACATTTTTCTGTGATATAAAGTAGCCTGTTTGTTATTCCAGACTAATCTATCTCTGTGCCAAATTTTTCATCCAGATCCGTTCAGCCATACTGAAAGAGTAACAAACATTCCATCAAATATTTTATTAGGTATCTATAGTAAATGAAAACTACCCATGAGTTATTTTTTCCTTTTTAGTGTTGTTTTTTTGAAGTCTGTTTTTTTAGTTTATTATTTTTCTCTTTTGAGTGTAGACATAGTAGTAGCAAAGTGAGACGAAAGTATTTTAATAAAATATTCACTTAAGCCTTTTAAGTTTAATGCCAGCTTTTATATGAAGACTGTCAAAGTAAAATTCGCTTTTATTAGTACCTAACATTAAAAATGGCTCCAAAATCCAATTCTAACGTAATGGTCTTATCAAGTCAAACAAAATAAGCTCAAACTTAAAGTATATACTATTAGCCGTTGAAGAGTTTCACCTATTCACCTTCTGGCCTTACCATCAGATCAGCTGTCGACGATACCGATTACCGAACCACTGCACTATCAATGGAAATAGAAACACTTGCAAAGTTTCAAGTCATTTTACAATTAAAAGTAGGTAAAATTCTATGAGCTATTTTGCTACCATTATTGGTGGTATTTTTTTTTTAATTTAAATGGAACCCATCCAAATCGGTTAATAAATGACGGAGTTCTGAGGTAGCAAACATAAAAAAAACCGAATTGAGGCTCCTTTATGAAGAAGTCTGTTGGAAATGGAAATCTGCAATATCAATATATATATATATATACCTACGTAATATAAAGCCGCTGTTTTCTTCAAACCACGCAACAAATTTTGATACTGTTTTCATTATAATGTAGAAATTTTCTTCCGGAAGGTATATGATGTTTTTATGAATTTTAAAGATTTGTAATGATCAAAATGTTGATGTCACCTTACGAGATAAATCAAATTAATGTACTACGGAATTGTATACCTTAAAGGCCTACAGAAAAGTCCGCGATAAGGTGTCTACTTACCTCCTAAGGTACCCTCACAAATCACTATAATTGTTTTTATTGTAATGATTTTTAACTATTTAAAACGTACCTAGGGTCGCCGTGCGAAGCGAGGATATGTAGCTAGTTAAGGAATGAAAACTAAAATTATGCTTTACATTGAAATGACTAAAATCTATTCATTTTGGTTTCTTCTTAAACCATCAAGGCTAAATTAATGTTAAATACGACAGTGCACTGTTTACCGTAATTACCTAGTTCTATTTTTACCAACCAAATAAGAAAATCGTAAAATTAAAAAGTTTATTCCAATAATATAGCGAAACTACACTGGAAAACAATATATGCAAAAAAACACTTTGTTGCTCTTGGTTATGTTCAGTGTGGACATGGTATAAACGAAGGTATTAAGGAGAATTGGGATTATTAAGAATATTGCAGAGGAACAAAAGGATATGCATAGCTCGGTAAAATCGAATCCTAATTCGATATAATATGCCCAACTTAAATGGCTCTAGGAACCATAATAGGGCTCCTAGAGCCATTTAAGTTGAGCATGAAAGTTATATCAATACAGTCATGCAGCACAGCTTATGCTAGGCAAAAATAAAAACGAATAGGGATATTCAAAGATTTTTTGAGTTACTCCTCAGTCACTTCCAAAAAGCACACATCAGCGTAATCATAATTTAATCAAATGAAGTTGGTTGAAAAAAAGAGAGACGCTTAATACTAAGGCTTTCAGTCTCGTTATATTTACGAGTCCCGGGGAAAAAAATCGAGACTCGGTGTGGTCTCGAAATTCCCGGGAAAAACGAGACTTTCGAGACTGCTCCAAAAATGGTTTCATACTCATAGGCTGGGCAGTTAGGCAGTCGATAGAAGGTATTTCAATAAAGTATTTTTTTAACCATACTCTTACAAACTCAATACAAGTAAAATTTATAATTATTAGGCCCTTACATATGAAATTGGCGTTTTTATGGAAAAAGAAAACGAAAAAAATATTTAAATTGTATATTTAATCAGTCACACAGTATGTACCATTGTCATCTATGCACTTTATGATAGTTAAAGAAGAATATCTATCTGCCTGTTATTTCCAAATGATCTAAAGCCTAGTTCGCATTAAGCTAGTATTTTAGTCTAGTAGCGAGTAATTTAGTAACTAAACGTGTCTGAACACTAAAAATTTTGTCGATTAGTTTAGTAAGTAATTTAGTCGAGTCAATCCATTTTATTCTATTTTTTTGGGCGAGTAGCAGCCCCCTCCACGCGTCCGAGCTCACTGGTTCACCGGCTAAACAAGTGCGAACCTGTCGAATTAGTCGAGTTCATTAGTTGCCGCCATAATTTCGTTTCGCTGGAGCGAAGAAATGTTTTTTAAATTTGTTTTGAAATATGTTGAACACGAATACTTGTTCCTTCAGAAGACAATTAGTAGCTCCTAGTTTATCTCGTCTTTCGATCCATTTTCGTACCCATAGCTTCTTTTTATTAATCACACAAATTTCCTCATCCACCTCTTCTAAAATAGCCGTTACGATCAGCTTAATCAGTTTATTTACTTTATTGCGTTGTAGGCTGTTCATCTTGCAAAACACCACTCACTTGTAAACTGTACTCGACCAAAGTGCGAACGATTTTTGGTGAGTAGCGAGTAATTTAGCTACTAAATTACTCGCTACTAGACTAAAATACTAGCTTAATGCGAACTAGGCTTTACTGCTGGTGTACCTCAAGGCAGTGTACTTTCTCCTTTACTGTTTTCCATCTTTATGAATATGTATACTGTATAATAACATATGAAAAGTTATTTCTTCTCTCTTCCATCTGTATGCAAATGACTTTCAGTTATATCGAGACTTTGAGTGACTGACCGCGAGCGACACACGTTCAAGACGTGAATTCTGAGGCGATTTTATTTTTACCATCGAATATCTTAAAAGTCCAGGAGGAAGCGTTGCATTTTGACGTTTATATTTACTCTTCTCAAATTATGTTTTGAACACGAAAGAAACTGATAGTTTGAAAACGACCAATAAGCAAAACTAGTAATAGATATGGATAGGGTGAAATTAAAACATAAGGGACTTAAAAATAATCTTAAAAAAAAAAGTGTTTAAAAAGAGTAAGAATTTATTTCTTTTAACTCTGTGTTTTGTCCGTTTTTAATTTTTATGTACCTGCTAAAATTTAATTTGAGTTTATTTTTATATGTAATATGTATTTTTTAAATATTAAGATAAAATATATATAAAGGAATACAGAATATACATTTATATAATGGTTTTACAAAATAAAAACTGAATATTCGGCTTTATCAAAAGAATTTGGGATATTAAGCTTACTAGGCACAGTGTCTTTGCTAAGCAATGCTTCTTTCGCTGTTTTAAACCCTAAGCATATGCTTTGTGACTCTTTAATTCCTTCGAGAATACCACAAATAAATCCACTTGAAAAACAGTCGCCAGCTCCAGAAGCATTTTCAATAAAACTCATAACTTTTGTATTATAAATACGAACTTCTAATTGTTGACGCTTATTACTTTCACTTATATTTTTTATCGTCACAACACCTGCGGGACCTCTTGTCACGATTAAAAAATTTACTGATTTCAAAACTATCCTGGATAGTTCGATAATTTCATCTAAATCAGTATGTCTTTTTATGTTGTTATTTGGAATCAAAAAATCTGCCATAGCTTTTAATTCTGTTAAGTTTGGCGAGGCGTATGCAATACTTTGATTACATAATAATGGTTTTATAGCTTTTCTGCGATCTGTTGGTTCGAAGAACACTGAAAAAAGAATACTATATGTTAATTCCTTTTATGAAACTTAGTATTAAACTCAATTTTCAATGAAATATTAAATGATTTGAGTGATAATATACCTAAGCTTTATAAACATCCTCAAACACTCATTTTTTTACCGTTTACCTATTCAGAGTTTTTTTAATTAAAAGAAAAGGATTTTGGTAGAGTTTAAAGATCACCATAGAAATGTGTATTGTTCACGCCACCTTTATTTTAATGTCATTTTAATTTTGACATGAGCACCAAAGACAAAAGATTTATTATCTTTGATTAAAAACAACCAAACAAGCGTAAGTTTGACAATTGACTGTAGTTTAACCACACATCTCAATTCTCAAGTTCCAACAGATTTAACGTTTAAGTGACTCCACCCATAAATAAACTAAGTTTTGTATTAGCTCAAAAAACTATTATTATAATGAAAACAACTGGGATGGTATAAATATTTATTTATTACAATTTTAAAATAACTATTATTTTACATCTTTGATTTTTCTCACAGAATTTTGTTTGTTTCATAAAATTGTAAAGTATTATTGTAACAATTAAGGATTATCCTACAAAATCGAAGTTATATAGGACTTATTTTAATTCATCATACAAATCAATCAGGGTAAGATTTTTTTAACTCTAATTTTTATTATTTTTTTCGTATTATTTTCTTTGAATCTGTTTACTCGGAAAAGTTGTAATGCATTATTGCTCTAATTTTTCGCAAATGTTATTTAAATTAATTTTAATTATAAACTCTTAGTGTCTCACAAGTTACTACTTGCTGAATTCTTTACTCCTATGGCCAGATAGTCTTTTATATTATAATTATTGAAAGCATTATCTATACTAATACAGCATTATCTATACTAGTACAGGTAAGGCATTCTTATATTTTGAAACAACTAAGTCTACAAACAAAAGAAAACAACAAATATTATCTGCTGAAAAACAACATAAAAAATTGTTATTAAATGTCCCATAAATGGCATGGAAATTTCTATTTACTATTGTAGGAGACACTTAGGTTGTTGTTATCTAAGGCAAATCAAAAGAATGTGAAAACACTAGCATTTAAATGTACCAAGTTATAAATATTATGATAAATTCATAAAAGAATAGGTAAATATATAAAGGGCTTGCTGGTTGATTGATCATAATAATATGGTCAATAACCAACCAACTTATGGTTCTTTCAAATACATTATTTGAGTGATTATAAGTGTGCAACATTCTTGAGCTTTACATAGTATAAGAAAATTTTGAAACACTATTAAGAATGAAATTCAATGTGTTAGATGGAATAACAAGAATCTTCAGTGCATCTCATGTCAAATTAGCAGCTTGTTCTAGCTCCACCCATATACTTTTTTTTATTTCCCAAAAAATACTGAACTGAGTGTTAGTAACAGTTTTGATCAGAAAAAAAATAAGTCAAAAATGTTGTTAAACTTTTAGTTTCCTAAGGGTATTAATTTTTAAACGATTGAAATAATTGTTTTAAATAAGTATTAATAAAAGGAAAGTATAAATAAGTATAAAATATAAAGGCAAGTTTCATGAAAAATGTTTACTTTTCCTACACATGTCACATTTTTGCATTTCTTTTTAGGGATGAATTTCTTACCTATCATATTGATCTCCTATTTATTATGTAATTAATTATGGAATTGGGCCATTAAAATTTTAGCCTCTTTTAATCTAGACCCTTGGTCTAAATGTTGAAGAATTTGTTAGAATAAATTGTATTATATACGAAATAGGAAAATTAAGGATATTATAATTTTTTGTACAATCCCATTTACAACTTTTGTCATTATAAATGTTATTAAATTTATAATGTCATCACACACAATTTTTGGGGAAACATTTTTGGGCTGAAGATTTTGCCTGGGTGGCTACTGGCTAGTAAGCAACTTTTAGTTTGTTAGTGTATAGTACATAACTATTTGTTAATTTAAATATATATATATATATATATATATATATATATATATATATATATATATATATATATATATATATATATAAATACAGAAGATGTTTAATTTTTTTGCTAGCTTTTCCCACAGTGAGCAATGCGTGTGAACTTTTTAGCATTGTGAATATAACAAATGTGTGTACCATTCAATTTAGTTAGCATTGCAAAACATTTTAACTTTGTTATTCATCTTACTCTCATAACCTTGGGCTTGAGCAAAATGAACCTTCATTTTAAAGCTTCTACCATTAAATAGTTCTACCAAGGCTTCAATGAATGAATGCCTTATTACTCTAGTTAAAGTGTTTTAGTATGACAGTGCTAAGTTAATGGTGCAATAATAACATACTAGCTTACTAATATCAAAATTACACTGGCAGGAAAATACAATAAAGTCATTGTATGTATATGGGTAGTACAATAAAGTTTGTAGTAGGTATATGGCAAAATTTTAATGTGAAGTTGAATTTTTACTTTGGTTTAAGTACCAAATAATACAAAGTCTGAATAAACGCAAACACTGTGACACATTTGAAAGCTTATTTTGATTCCTTTTTTTATGCGGAAAATATGTTAGCAAGATAAGATCAAAATATTGCAAAATATATTTTAACACTTGCTTACTAGCAAGTGTTAAAATATATTTTGCAATATTTTGATCTTATCTTGCTTACAAACATCAGCCGCGGCTCCGCCCGCGTTCAGATGATCAAAAACCAAGTTCTTAGATTTTACATATTAGTATACTCTTACCGTGCAGTTTTTGTATTTTTTCTCAGAAATGAGACATTTTCCCGTGGTAAAAAGTATCTTATATGTAGACCCGAATAACCAGCTATCACCATACCAAATTTCATCAAAATCCCTCCAGTGGTTTTTCTGTGATGCGGTAACAGACAGACAGACAGACAGACAGACAAAAATTCTAAGAACTATAGATTCTGTTTATTTCAATAAGATTTTCCAAAAAATATTTAATGTACAGATGCGGCTTAGTTACAATTTTATTATATGTATGTATAGATTTCAAAGCTAGTAAGCAAGAGGAATAGAGAGAATCATCTTAAATTTTGAGTTCGTTGTTCTTTTAATTACGTAAATAATTTATATAAAAACGTTTGTTACAGTCACAATGAAGAAAAGGAGTCTAGCAGGTAATTGTGGGATCATTGTATTTGTGATTGCCCTTGTGACTGTGGCATTGGCTTTTGGCACGCCTAACTGGCTCGTCAGTGATAATAGGATACGGGGAGCTAAATTAGACAGGTAATTAGATATATATAAAAAAATCTATTAAATGTTAAAGCATGCTGCGGTTACTGTTTACAATTAATAGTAATATTATAAAGAGGTAAAGTTTATAAGTTTGGATTTAGGGGGTAGTCTTTGAAACTAATGATCTGATTCTAATCACTACTTTGAGTATTATAGGCAGTTTTTATTCTGATAAAAATGTTTACTGTTTGAAATAATAAAACTTTCATTAAACTTTTACGACTTCAGTCGGAAGAAAGTGGCTTTCGATTTGTTTTTTCCGCGTGCCCTGCCTAAATGTTTAGAAATATCTAGGGACACACCCTAGCGAAGCGAGGGTAAGTCGCTAGTTATTAATAATTGAAATTATTTGAATTAAATTAATAACGACGACACGTTTGGTTCAGTTTGTAGTGACCCTACTTGCTGTGCCATCGGTGCGTGTTCGAGTCCCGCTGTGGGCATTCATTTGTGTGATGGACACGAATGTATGTACTCTTGTCATGGGTGTTTATATTTAAATAATATGTATGTAGGTATTTAAAGTTATATTTGTGTAGTGTATCAACTATCTTGTATCCATAACGCGGGCCTCGTAACTCACCATGGAACTAGATGGTGCTGTGTGTTAATATCCCAACATATTATTTATTATTATCAATTACGACACGAAAATAAAACCCGCAAAATATAAAATACACAAAAATCGAACCAAATATTGTAAACAAGTTGATGGAGGAACATTAAACTATACAATCGGTACTCGGAGATAATAAAAAGAAAAGAATGATATAATATATAAATTGTTGTTGTAACTGCATCCGTGGTTTAGTAACTAGCATGTTCGGCTGCAATCCGGAAGTCCTGGGTTCGAAACCTGAGACAGGCCAAGTTTAATTATTGAGTCTTTATGTAAAGAAAGTCTTAGTAACAGCTCCTATGCATTGGAAAACATGTACCCTTGTACCCCGGTGAGAGATCAGACGCGGGACCGAAAAACCGCTGGTTCTGTGCCTGATCTCCCGCGGCCGTTTTCAATTGTGGTTCCACCAGTGTATGAGAGTGACAGGAATAGAGAATGCACTTGTGTCTGCGCGTAGACTTGTGCGCAGCTGGCTGGTCTCATTTTCAGTGACATTAGTCGCCGTGGCCGAAATCGGTCAGGAAGATATCATGTAAATTGTAATATTTATGGTCTATATGTCTTATATACCCTAATAAAACTCTTAAGGTTTTAAGTAATTAAAAAAAAACAACAATTTTAGATTGGGTTTATGGAGTCACTGCTTTAGATCTCTACCGGATCCTTTGGATGCTTACCAAAGACGATTTTTCGTAGGATGTCGATGGGTGTACGACCCCTTCACTACAGGATATGATAAAATCCGCGGATACTTACTACCAGGTTCGTAATTTAAATTACTTGTGTTAATGAATAACATTAGGCTGTAAGTAGACAAAGCTGTCGCTGTAGATATAAAAAAAATAGCAGCTTTGTTATTTTCTGTAGAGATAAAACAATAGAAAAAGTTAGAATTTTTGTATTTACGTAAATGCTTAACTATTTTTTTTTCAGGATTTATGATAGCGACACAATTTTTTTTTACACTATGTTTGATAGGAGTTTTGGCCTCGACAATATTAGTTATAATATTCTTCTTATGTTGTGGGCCGAATCAGAACAGATATGTTATGATTATCAAAGTTATAGGATTCATCATGTTGGGTGCAGGTAAGGTTTTATAAGAAATTTCTATAATTTTTTTATTATTATATAGTCATTTTATTAAATTTATACTGTTCTTTTAAGGAATAAGTGGAGCTATAGCAATAATAGTGTTCGCGTCATTGGGAAACACTGATGGATGGATGCCAGATCACCCTAACAATTATTTAGGTAATTAATTTTGTTTTCCAGATATTGTAGTATCTATTGAATTGGCCTTGCCTACTATACCTTAGGATGTATATACATAGATTTCATTATTCTCAATATTAAACTATCCTTATATGAATTTGTGACATAAGAAAAATTTAAACTCCATAATTTTATAAGTAACTTTATTATTTTTTTTAGTCTAAGAACAAAAGTCACATTGATATTATCATAAATGTGAGAGTTTGATATTATCATAATTTTAATGTTTGTTACATCTTATCGCTGCATCAGCTTAGCAAAGAATGAAATTCGGAATTATTATAGTTTATAATGTAGCTGAGACGTGGACACTAACGGTACGATTGATCCACCAGTTTAAGGTCGCTTAGCGTGCTATGGTGAGTGCTATGCTCAGAGTTTCTCTGAAGGATCGTATCTGAAACCCGACAGAGAATCAAAGTTATCGACATAGCCCAAAGAATAAGCATGCTGAAGTGGCAGTGGGCTGGTCATGTTTGTCGCAGAAGCGATAACAGATGGAGTATATGGGTTCTAGAGTGGAGACCACGACTCGGTAACGTAGTGTAGGACGCCCTCCAGCTAGGTGGAGCGACGATATACGTAAAGTGGCTACGTCCGTATTACGTACGTGCAGAGGCCCCCGTCTGGCTGCGGACGAAAACGGGCTGAATATGATGATGAATGTAGATAAACGCATAGGATATTTTTTATTATTATATTAGCAGAACCCGCGGCTACGCCCGCGTACAATCTACAAAGAAAAACTCTTTGGTTTTATGTTATACAGCGACTCACCCTCGCCGGGTTCGTCGTCAAAAATACTAAAATCGCAATTAAATAAAAACTTTTTAACAAAAAAATAAAAACCGACTTCAAAAAAAAGCACTAAAAAGTAAAAAATAACTGATTGGTAGTTTTCATTTACTATACATACCTAATCAAATATTTTCGAAGTCGGTGTGGTTTGGTTTGTATGGGCTGGCACCGATTTCGAAAATATTTGATTAGGTATGTGTTTAATTTAATAGGTAGGCTTTAATTACTTAGCCAAAGCACACCGACTTCGAAAATATTTGATTAGGTATGTATAGTAAATGAAAACTACCAATCAGTTATTTTTTACTTTTTAGTGCTTTTTTTTGAAGTCGGTTTTTATTTTTTTGTTAAAAAGTTTTTATTTTTACCTTTTTAGTGTAGACAGTAGTAGCAAAGTAAGAATTCTAACGTGTTAGGCTTGTCAAATCAAACAAAATAAGCCCAAACTCAAAGTATCTACTATTAGCCATTGAAGAGTTCCACCTATCCACCTTCTGGCCTTGCCATCAGATCAGGTCAACAACACCGAACCACTGTACTATCAACGGAAATAGAAATACTTGCAAAGTTTCAAGTCAATATGACAATTAGAAGTAGGTTAAATTCATCATTAGTTGTTTTTCCACCCTTAGTGGTGATATTTTTTTTTGAAATTTAAATGGGACCAATCTGGAAGTATACCCTTTCAAACAAAACAAAAATTGTCCAAATCGGTTAATAAATGACGGAGTTCTGAGGTAACAAACATAAAAAAAAAAAAAAACACAGTCGAATTGAGAACCTCCTCCTTTTTGAAGTCGGTTGAAAATGGGGGGATGGGTAGGAGGGTAAAAAATACTTTATGACCTATTCTCATACCTAGCAAATATATAAAAAAAAATCATTAAAATCGGTCTAGCCGTTTCGGAAGAGTGCGACCACAAACACCGTGACACGAATTTTTTATATTAGATTTTATTCAGGTTCATAGCGAAGTATCATCCACGCGAGTAAAGCCGCGGTCACAAACTATTGGGAAAGGCACTTCACGTTATCTTATATTTTATGTTCATTATTGTAGCAAAAGAAAAATTGTTACACTTTTTAAAAGTAAGCATTAGGACATTCATGTTGTTTTTATCACTTACAGAGTGTAATTGAGGTCAAGTCAGTCAAAGTAAGGCCACTATGAGAAATGACTAACGTTGTTTGTGAAATAGAAGTAACATATATGCAGTTTATTGTTTACAGAATAAGGGTTTTTGATCGTGTACAACATTTTTCTTTTTCATCAACTATACAGATTCGTTATAAGAATTATATTTTTTGAGTATTATTCTGTGATTTATAGGGCTTGTGAAATTATTGAAAAGTTTTTTTTATTAATTGGTTAAGGTTGAGGTTGAGGTATTGATTGAATATTATACATATAAGACCTACATAATATATGCATAAATCTCGCGGCAAGAATGAAACGTGTATGTCTCCACAATACTGTGTGTGTGTGACTGCGTAATACTTTGTTACTTCGTCAACTTGTTTTCATCTTTTTAGTTAGCTTTTATGCAGTCTGGTTTTTATTTTTATAATATATTTTTTTAGTAGGTATTATTAGCAGTCTTCAAAAGAGGCAATGTCGCCAGCTTTAGCCGTGTGCTGTTGTGTCTATATTTTTTTGTTTTTCTTTTAATATTTATATTACTTTCGATTATATTTACTTAAATATTATTAAATAAATTGAAATTTATACATTCAAAAATTAAATCACACTAATATTGTATAACTAGCAAGTATGCTAACGGTAAAAACTAAAAATTAGTAATAAAATAAAAAATTTCAGGATGGTCATTTGGCCTGGGCGTCGTTGGGGTAATAGCGTGTATTGTAACAGCTGCCTTATTCCTCACTGAAGCGAACATCCAACAGAAGAAACGCAAGCTAATGATGGAATCTCAGGCTCGCTTTGAAATGGAATACGAGTCAAAAGCGTAACAAGACGTCACAAAGTGTCCTTATAAGGTGCCTTCGATCAGTACTGATTTAGTATTGTTTTAGAATCCTTTGTGTTCTATTTTAAATTTAATAGATAGCTTAAGTGTAATGTTTAGTTTAGGTTTAAAGTAAGCATCACCTCATAGCAACGCCTTGTATGTAGCTTGGATATTGCAAATCTTTATGTATCTTATATGGCTGTCAGAAATAATTTGACTTAAACTTTATGAAAAAATACATACATAATATTGTATATAGTATAACTTAGTATATCTAGCCTTAAGAAAGATATACATATTATAAGATATTTTGATGCTCTTTTTACTTGTTTCAAAACTATAGCTTAGGTCATATATGAGCTGACAGCTTTATTTTTATCTAATAGTAATAATGGATATGCATATAACGATCATTAAATGTTAGGTAAATACTGTTCAATAGATAAAGTACAATTTGGTTGATTCTTAATATATGCATTTATAGGTAATTCTTTAAAGTCACATAACTTTTATTTATGAACCGATTGAAAAAAAAAACAAATGACAAATGTTTGAGAAAGCTTACCGCAATACATTAATGAAAACCTCACACAAATCGGTTAAGACGTGTCTGAGTTTAGCGTGCAGAAATGCACTGAAAAACAAAAAAATCAATTCTAAAACTGATTGTTTTGGATTCTATTGTGTTAATAAATACACCTGTAATAAGCTTGTCTCAGAAATTTTCCATGTACAGGCAGGGATTAGCTACACTTTTATTATACGTATATAGATGTTTTCGACTAGACTCGGCTATTTATCAGTTTTTAACGACAGACGCCTTCCTAGACCAGGGTCGATAATTTTTGAAACCAAAAAAATACTACTATTATTTTTTTCACTTTTTACCATTTTCAAAGGCTTCAGCCCTGGTCTATTTGTCAAAATGGAGGTAAACAAAACACATGGGTATATTTTTATATTTGTATTTGTGTAAGTTCATTAAATAGACACTACATTGTTCGAGATTTAAAAAACTGATATTACTGACTTACTAACTGCACAAATGTTGTATAATCTAAAAATATACACATCCACTACTGCTATTTATTTTTTGTTAGTTTGTACAGCTTTAATGTATTCAATAATAATTCCGAACTATTTTAAATAATACTATCTTTTTGGATTTTTTCCGAAAAGATAGTTTTATTTAAAATGTCAAGTATTCGCGTAAATCTAAGACAGTAATTCCGAACTAATTGTTCTATATTGCATACGACGTAATATTATTTTTAAAATGCGAAAGGTATTATTATTCAATTTATTTAAAAAAAAACTAACATTTATGTTTAAATTTATTCCGTCCAGTGTTTGTTATAAATTATTTTTATAATAAATTAAGGAAGCTTGGTAGATCTTTGAAAGAAAGATTTTTGATATTATTTTATTAGTGTGAAATGAAAAAAGATTCATATAAGAACTTTGGGAACTTTCTCATTTTTTTTTTTAAATATTCAATGCTAAATAAAATCATAATTGATTTATTCATATGTCATTATTTTTAATTTTCACGAATTAGTACTAATACAAAACATATTTTAAACGTATTTTATGTTTGTACGGATATATGACTTTATTGGAATTAAAATTTCTATTTTTAAGAGAATGATTACTGAGTTAGATATAAGCGCAATTTACACTACATATTATATTTAGTGTTTCCGTCCAGAAGATCTATTAAAAATGCCTGCCTTTATTAAAATATTAACTTTAAATATCATTGTTCAATAAATTTTTATACATTGCATTGCTGTTTAATTACTATTAAACTAGCGACTCACCCTCGCTCCGCTCGGGTTCGGCCCACGTTCACATCCACGTACGTAATTTAGAGATGAGATATTTACCCGCAATAAAACGTATCCTATATGTTCACCCGGATAACCAGCTATGATCATACCAAATTTCAACAAAATCTATCCAGTGGTTTTTTCATAATAGTAGGGGAGCCCAAGAGGGGATTTTTGTAGTTACTCAAGCGCGGCAGATTAACATAAAAGAGGTTACCTTGCACTCTATTGAGTACTTTCACCATAATATAAGTCTTCTATATAAAGGGGCGCGTCTAGGGAAGCCGATTAAAATATTTAAAAAATGTTTTGATAAGGTAGAAATACTTGAAACCGTCAGATTAAGGTGTGGTAGGCTAGTCACATCCTGAAAAGTGTCCAATTCAATAATCTGCCGATTTGCACAAGCCGAAGAGGCAAAAATCGACTATAAAGTTTATGATCTATACTCCACGTATCTATACTCCAACTATACGTAAACGTATAGTTGGAGTATAGATACGTACATATGTACAACTAACTCTTATAACAGCCTCAGTGGTGTAATGGTTAGCATGTACGTCTGCTGATTCGGAGGTCTCGGGTTCGAGTCCCGGGTCGGGCCACTTTTAATTCCTATTTTTTTGTTAAGATATTCTCAGTAGTAGCCCGGAGTTAGGAAGTTGGTGGTGTTGCATCCTCGTGCCTCGGAGAGCATGTAAAATCGTCGGTCGGTCCTAGGTTTTAACTCACCGGTCGTGTCTTAGTATTTTCCCATCGGACTTTAACCACTAAATCCGCTGTATCGTCAATTTTAAATGTATATGTTAAGTATGACGCGTTGTGGTCTGATCATTATCCTTTAATTATTGAATGTAATCTAATATAAAACCAAAGTGTAGTAGTAAAAATAAAGTGATTAACGAGATTCTATGGGGAGATAGAAAACCGGAGGAAATACAATTATTCACTAAATTATGCCATGAAAAATTGAGATCTATCGATCTCCCCGAAGAGTTTCGTTCTTGTTGTGATCATATGTGTGAGCGTATCGATCACATATTACTTATAAGTTATAGATAAATTATATAGCGAGATTATTAATATTTTATCTGTCGCCGCCACTGAGTCTAAAACTGTAAGATCACGCGGTGGGAAGCGTCCTGTGGTTGGGTGGAACAGGTATGTACGCGACGCCCATTGGGAGGCCAGGTCTAAGTTTTTGATGTGGGTTTGGTTGGGTAAACCTAATAATTGTTATGTCTATGAAGACATGCGCCGAAGTCGCAGTGTTTTTAAGTCGCGCTTAAAGTGGTGTCAGAACCACAGTGAACAAATAAAAATGGACATTTTGGCTACACAGCATTCGAAAAATGATTTTCGTAATTTTTGGAAATCGACAAATAAATTAAATAATAGATCTGGTCTACCAGAGAGCGTAGAAGGTATTAATGATCATAGTCGTATAGCAGACATGTTTAAGGAACATTTCACAGTGACATCACCGTTGGGACCATCACAGCCTGCAAGAGATAAGTGTAGGCATGGCCAGCAGGTTGAAATCAGATTTACAGCGAAGAATGTCAATTATGCTATAACTTCTATGTCGCGGGGCAGGCAGGTCTCCTGGCCATAATTAAAGCACGCGGGTCCTCATTTGCCCGGAGTACTTGCCATGTTTTATAATTTATGTATAGCTCACTCAGGCCCATTTCACTTGCAACAGTTGTTGCAAAAGTGCTTGACAGTATGCTTAACGTCCAGCTTGATAAACACATTCACTTACATGACAATCAGTTTGGCTTCAGACCGGGTTTGTCAACGGAATGAGCAATATTGTGTCTAAAGCAAACTGTGAAGTACTACTCGGTTAGGCAAACGCCTGTGTACGCCTGTTTCCTTGACCTTAGTAAGGCATTTGACCTGGTCAATTACGATATTCTATGGCAGAAACTAAAAAATACTGGATTGCCTGAAGAAGTTACCGGGATCTTCAAATATTGGTATCATAATCAGGTCAATGTCGTGCAATGGTCGGAAACTTATTCGCAGCCATACGGATTGGAGTGCGGGGCTTAACTTCCCCTAAGCTCTTCAATCTCTATATCAATGCACTGGTGGAGGCGCTCAGTACTACTCATGTTGGTTGTCATATTGACGGAGTGTGCCTAAATAACATTAGCTATGCAGACGACATGGTGTTGCTGAGTGCGTCTGCTTGTGGTTTAACGAAATTGTTGAGTATATGTGAAAATTATGCCTATAGTCACGGTTTGATTTATAATGTTAAAAAAAGTGAATGCCTGGTGTTTCGTGCCAAAGGAAAATCTCAGCCCTCAACTCCACCACCCATTAAGTTATACGGTACCCCGTTAAAGAGGGTGTTTCAGTATAAATACCTAGGTCATGTGATATTCTTTGACCTGAAAGACGATGCTGATATAGAGAGAGAACGCAGGGCATTGTCTGTGAGGGCGAATATGATCGCACACAGGTTCGTTCGTTGTTCCATCCCTGTTAAGGTGACCCTCTTTAGAGCTTACTGTACTTCTTTTTATACTAGCAGCCTGTGGGTCGATTACACGCAAAAACAGTACAATGCTCTGCGTCTTCAGTACAATAATGCATTCAGGATGCTGATGGGACTGCCTCGTTGGTGCAGCGCGTCGGGTATGTTCGCCGAGGCGCACGTAGATTGTTTCTACGCTATCATGCGCAAACGGTGCACATCCTTGGCGCGCAGGGTTCGGGCCAGTTCCAATAGCATCCTGAGGGCATTTGCTGACAGGTTCGATTGTCAGTATTTGAACCATTGCCAAATGGGGCACATGCTGACAAATCGAGTCTGTCTTACATAAGGTTTAGGATTAAGTAGGTTAAATGTGTACTAACATTAGGTTGCAGTGTGTCTTTACTAACAAAATATGAACCTTGAAGGTTGAAATAAATGATATTATTTTTATATCTTTTTCTTTTTCTCGAAATATATAATTTCGGTGTAATGAATCTCACGGGCTTACGCCAAGTGAGAATCATCATTAGTTATTGTTTGATGATTAGGGGAATCGTCTTGCAGAAACTTTCGGACTATGCGACATGTGTTCAGAATAGTGGCTTTTTGCATACTCATGAAAGTGTTAGGTGATAAATCTATAACGCGGAGAGAATGCAGCAAATATTTTGGTATAACTCCTGTACTGGAAAGCACCAACGGTACAATATATACTTTATTCATTTTCCATATTCTAATAACTTCTTCTTTTAATTCGGTGTATTTATGTATTTTTTCTGTTATAGTTTTTTGTTAATTGTGTGTATTCGGAACTGCAATATCAATTAAATAAGTTATTTTATTTATTTTATTTATAAGGGTTATGTCCGGTCTATTGTTGTGGATGGTTTTATCAGTTAATATTGCTCTATCAAAGTACATCTTGTAATTGTTGCTCTCCAAGACTGGTTTTGGTGTATATTGATAGTATGGCTGGGGTTTATCTTGTATTAATTTATGTTTACTGGCTAGTTTTTGGTGAATCATATGGGCTATTTGATTATGCCGATGAGTATAATCCGTTTGGGTAAGGCTAGGACAGGCACTGGTAATATGTTGTATGGTTTCTGGTTGGTGATGACATTTCCGGCATTTATCACTTTTTAAGGTTGGATCTTTAAGAATGAACTTTTTATTATTATTATTATTATTTAAGAGGAAAAGGAATAGAGAATGCACTTGTGCCTGCGCGTACATTTGTGCAATATAAATAGAGTATATTTCTACATATATATAAAACCTATATTTCCTCCTCCAGATGTCGCGAACACTATGATCCTCAGTAAATTGTAAAGCTCTATAATATGGATGGTTTTTACTTTATTTAAAATTTAATTAAAATAAGACATTGTTGCACGCAAATTGGTTTAAGCGAAAGTTTTAAAATCACTTTATCTGTAAAATAGTGTCCAAATAGCCTAAAATATAAAGATTGTGATTTCACCAATTTTGGTCGTCTTATAGGCTTAGCCCACAATTTCTTCAGTTTTTTTGTCTTTTGGGAACAAATGATATGCATTTTCTTTACATCCTGACCTGTGACAATTTTAATTAAATTTTAAATAAAATGAAAAAAATCCCATCCACGCTATAGAGTTTTACAATATATGTAAGGAGATATGTAAGGAGAACTATTTCTGTGTATAAAAAATCACCGCTGACAAGCATCAAATTGGTGGCGCCACAGAAATCAAGTGGATGAATTTAAAAACTTATCGCCAAAAGCTATAAAATTAAGATGGCAAATTAAACAAGCAAAGAAAGATTTCTGTTTTGTTGTAACGCACTTTTCAAAATAGTTCTAACATAGGCGAACCGCGATATAGAATATAATTACATATTATTTTCAAGTAATAATAATTCAGTACACCTCACTCCGTTTAAAACTGCTAAATTCATATCACTTCTTCTTGCTACGCTAGCGCTGTATCGGTGAGCTTCTTGAATTACAATTTGCTGCTCACCATGGGACACTTTTTCAACTTGTTTCCAATATATGACGGTTCTGCTTACATTTACTTATGGACGGTAGAAGTAAGGAGGACCGTCTTGTATGGGAGATTAGTTGAAAAAGTGTCCACTTGTAAACAGCAAATTATTGTTCGGACACTCACCGAAATAGCGTTAGTGTAGGAAATGGAAATGATATGAATTTAGCCGTTATAAACAGAGTAAAGGGTGCTGGATTGAAAATTTGCTTGTTACAATTTTAATTATTTTTTTAACTTTTCTTTCCTTTTTTAATTTAGCATCCTACTCTAATAATTTGTGGCGCTCCTTTTAAAATTCTTCCACTTGCTATTATAGCGCCACCTTAATTTGCTCCCTTTCAACGGACACTTTTTAATACACTGAGATGGTCCTCCTTACTTCTACCCTCCATACTTTTACCCTAATTATTTACAATAGGTACCTACACTGAGGAATGAGAATTATAGTGATCGCGACATGTGGCGGGAGAAATGGCAAAATTCTTCCCAATCGGCTAGCTCAGTGAGATTGGTGCCGTAGCCAAAATCTTTCAGGACGACATTATTATTATTAAACAACATTTTTATGAACAGATAATATGTACGTTTTTAAAATGAACTAGTCTAATAATCGCTTATTATTTACAAATTTGGCACAAAAATTGAAAAATATTAATGTATATAAAAAATAATAATAAAAAAAAACACATTTTATTATGTTAATAATATTCAAATACATTTTGGTAAGGTATTTTCATCCTAGAGAAACAAAAAATCGAAAGAGTCATGGGGTCGCTGACTCAAAATTTAAAAAGATATTAAATTTATTAAATAAAAAAGTATAAAGAAGAAAAGTAATAGATATTAAATAAAGAAACTAAGAAAGTATTAGATATTAAATTCATTTTTATATATAAAAATCAATAATATTGAAAACTTATTAGGGATCATTAGATCCTTGTACCTTTGTTTTATATTTCTATAATGTGACATTTAACATGTTTTTTGATTTGACAGTGACATTAAACATTGATGGTTCGTGTTCACCGACCTACCGAACGAGTAACGACAAATACTTGTCAAATTAAAGCATTTTGTTACCGCTTTAATGTGAAGTTGTAATAGAATATAATACGTTTTTTAAGGAAAAAGTTATAACATATATATTTGAAGATAATTCAAAAAGTAATACTATGACTGCTGATAAAAATGAATATCCTAAGGCTTCAAGTAAGTTTCTAATGGGCATTGGGCACGCCCTATACGAATTTGTGTTAATAAACACGGTACTTAGTATCTCAATAAGTATTTTTATTTTATAAATTAACATTCCCTACTTTGATTGATGTGTTTCACAGATGCCACCTTAATAGGAGCTACAATTACATATGTATCAGGACTGTTCCTGTTACTGTCGTTTGCTGGACCTTATTGGATAGAATCGTACCCAGAAATGTTTTCTTCGTTTAAACATATGGGTTTATGGGAGTATTGCTTTGATCGTTTTCGATTTCCAGGTTTCCAATATGACAAATATTTCACTGGATGCCATTACGTTTTTGGTCAAGTAAGTATCTTTTTTACCATAAAGAAGCATTTTTTTATTTAAATTATTAAATTCTTGAGAAAGGATACAGAATATTTTTATTACCTTTAGGAACTCCATATGATTCGAGAATGGCTTCTTCCTGGTTGGTTAATGGCAGTGCAAACATTTGTAACTCTTGGTCTTATCCTTTCATTTACTGCTCAAGTTTTATTAGCTTGTGTAATTATACGCTGGCCTCTACGTACTGTGTTAAGATATGAATGGATAGTTGTATCAATATCATTTGTAATGGTTGCTCTATGTAGTGAGTATTTTACAATCTTTTTTAATGTTATTATATATTTTATATATTTTTTAAGATTATTCAAATTATTTATTACATTATGATAATGAACAGTCCTTTTAAGGTTTATGGATAAATTAAGATATATTGTAAAATTTTTGGGTTACATGATTTTTAGATGACTTAATGTATTACTGCATATTATTATTAGTTCATTAGTTACAATTTGTGTAATAAAGTTCTTTTTTACTTTAAGGTGTATTTCTATTCTTGGCTATAGCAGTATTTGGAGGCAATTGTTACAGAAGGGATTGGTTATTGTACCCATCATTCAATGTGCTATCCTGGTCTTATGCGTTTGCTGTGGTAGCTTCTATATTATTTGGTGAGTGGACATCTTGAGGATATGTATTTTATTAGACTAAATAATATAATATTCTTAGCCATGCAAAATGTACTATTTATAACATTTTGATCAATGAGAAAGATTATGTCTGACTAACTGAAGGTATGAATTTAATAATTTCATATAGTGTTTTTATATTATAATACAGATGCCCTTGGAGTTTAAATAGACTGCATATTCTATATCACTTTAATAATAGTAAATAGGCATTACTAATGAAGTCTTTTTCAGGTTTGGCTGCAATATTGCTGTTCCTAGAGTCTCGTAAATTATATGAATTGCGTCTAGAAGCAAAGAACTTAGTAGCTCAAATGCAGCATAGTCAGCCCGAGCATGCATTGCACCAATTGCGTGACCAGTTGCATCAACAACAGCAATTAGGTTATTTCAGGAATTAAGTATTTTAAATTATTTAACTAATGTTCATAGATATGTATGTTTCACACATAATATTTTAAATATTTTAATTCTTAAATTTAAATCTTGATGCCTAAGAAATATTATAAATTGGAAATGCTAGTTTTAAAATTACTTTAAAAATAATAAAAATCGTGACTTTTTATCGAGATTTTGATAAATCAAATATTTATCAAATCCAGCATTATTTGGCAATAAAGAAAATCCTAGTGGAAATTCAACTTTTCTGCTTATGAAGCACAATTCTGACACTAGTTTTATAAATAAAGACAACTTTCACTTTTACCTTTTAAACATTTATATTTAGAATACTCTTAGTATATTAAATATACATATTGTTTCTTCATCACATGAGAAAAAAGATGATAATATTAATGACATTCGAATTTTATTGTTTACTTAATGAAATTGATTTATTCTCGTGACATTAATCACATGAATTATTTTCATTTATTATTTATAATATTGTTTGATATAAATAACAAAATATTGTCTCAATAACAATAAGAACTGTGATACAACCATTCCATGGAATATGAATTCAAGCTCCCTAATATCATTATTTTTATTTTATGCTGACTTAAAAAAACCTTTTTAGTTGTAATAAATAAGTATTACAAATATGAGCTTATTCCATTAATTTTTATATAATACTAGCAGAACCCGCGGTTACGCCCGCGTTCAATCTACAAAATAACTCGGGCTTTATAATATACAGTATGTATTTATATGATACTGTTCATACAAAAATACTAAAGTCGCGATTAAATAATGGGGGATGGGGGTAGGAGAGTGAAAAATATTTTGTGACCTATTTTCATACCTACCAAATAAACAATTTTTTTTAGCCGTTTCTGGGCTTGCGACTACAAATACCATGACATATTCGATTTTTATGATTTTGCACAAGGTATATGTTTGTAGTTGTGCTATATTATGACAACTTGTAACTTTAAAAATTGTGAATCTCATTCAAAAATGTATTCCGTCCACTAAAACAAGTAAGGCCATATGAAAGTCATAGTTCTCCATACTTTTAGTTTATGTAATTGTAAGTCTTGTTTAGTTAGAGTTTTCCTTTGATTACATTTTCTTATGTATGGCATTTATGTTTTATATAAGGTTTATAAGGTTAGAGTATGTTGAATTAAGTTTAATATTAATTATTAGTTGAGACTTAAATTTGATACTTAAATTTTGGTCATTCATTATACAATATACATACTATGTATTTTTTTAGTTATAATTGTTTAATAACATTGTTTACTGGACATACTATATATAGGTACTAAGTGATATGTATATTTTTTGAAAAACTAAAAGTGCACGTTTGTTTTAAGTGATGCTAATGTTGAATCTAATAAAAGTGTATTTTTATACAAACGAATTGTTTTTTTATTTGGATATTTCATCAAATAGTTCATATTTTATCTCTTACCCAAAATTATGAAACTTAAAAGGACTTTTTTTTAATTTTTAAAAACGGAATTCTTCCAAACTACACAGGATTAATGAATGAAATATATGTATTACGAAAAGATGTAAACTAAAAGCACAACTTGTACCTAACCAAAAAAACTTTGTGTCTACTTTATATATGTAGCAATATACTATATAGGTGTCTACGACGGTTTTTGTCTGTCGATGATTTTGTGGTTTTATTAGTGCCATATTTCCGAAATATCTCATTACATACGTACATTGCATATGTGTTGTAAATATGATTTTTTCGGATTGTATTAAATTGTATTTTTTTCCTTTTATTAATAATATGTGATTATTCAAGAACAGAAGAGTATGTGTTGGGTTCTTTATATAACAGGAGCTATGGGATAGGGTTTTCGTTATATAGTTGTTTTTGAGTAACCATGAGCAATATTGCTACTATGTAGGCTAGGCTTTGGGGCGTCGTAGTTGAGTGTGTAGGTTACCCTGCTAGGGCCCATTAATTTCGAGAAAGGTTTCGTTGGGTTTAAGTGGGTTGCCGTAACTAGCTTTTCTAATCGGTTCACATACCCTGAATGTATGCAGGTGATACGCGTAAAGGTTTCCCAACATAAAAAAAAAGTTATAGAAATAGGCTGTCAATGTTCAGTCAGTTCGAATTACAGCGGTTTGCTCTGACAGTTAAATTTAATTATTTTAGTACAGTCAATTTTGTACTAACAGATTAAACTATACGTTTTAAAATAATCCTGTATTTATATCAAATATTTTTTTCTGTTATGGATTCAAAGAAAATAGTTTGTGTATGAGGAAAGAGTTATTTGTCTATTCATATAATATATGTACGTAGATGTGCTTTAACGGTCAAATGCATAATGCGACGTAGCATCGAATATAATCGCTGATGCTGAAAATATCACGTGTCATACTAGTTTCCCCGAAAGACATAGTGCATAGCTTATCTTGATTGTAGAGGGCTATCGTTTCAGGAGGCACCAGTTGGCGCCACTGGCGAGTAAGGTCCTATCGCTGTCGTTAAAAAAGTATTTGTTAGTGCGTGGCAGAAATATAATAATTATTATTAGCGCGGCCCCAGTATTAGGATTTTAGTTATATAATAAGTAATAACCAAATAGTTAAAATATTGACTTTTTCTTAGCTTTTCTTTTAAAGCAATGACATTAGTTGAGCCGTATCGTGTCTGCCTGAATTAATCAGGAATGGCATTGTTTACAATAATCATAAATAATTAGTCAAGATCCATGATGAAAAGCTCGCAAACAGTAGGTCATTTGACATTCTTAGAGACATCACTCTACCCTCATTGGTAGTACATTTTATAAAACATGTTATAAGCGCGTTACTGTTACTTGTTAGATTTATAGAAATGGGCCGGTTAAAGTAAGTAATTAATTTAAAATTTATGATATACCTAGATTATTGTCTGACGTGTATTTTTTTTAATTAAAAGAATACTTTTTAAATGTAGAATCTACATCTTAGTATATATTTATACTAGCGGACCCGACAGACGTTGTCCTGTCTACACGTCTTTAATTTGAAAATTTCAAACTTTTTTTAATAATTTTTTTGATGAAAATTATTATTCAAATTGTGAATCTAAACCATTCCCAGATCCCCTTGAACACACACAAAAAATTTCATCAAAATCGGTCCAGTCGTTTGAGAGAAGTTCAGTGACATACACACTCACAGAAGAATTATATATATAAAGATATTCTTTATATTAAAGATAATATGTACAGATGCACATTATACTGTACTAATGTATCAGTGATTAATTTAGTTGTAGGATAATTAATTATTTTTCATTTTAGGATCTATTTAAATGCTAGGTTACTATTGTCGCCATTGGAATTAACTCATTCGAAAGACGAAGCTAGCTCATTAGATGTCCACTTACCCGGTTTGTTATGTTCATTACATAGCTTTAGTACATGATCCATTGTAGCAGTCGGTACATTTCCATCAATTACAATTAATGGGGCCGCTTTTAAAACATCTGTATGTTTATTTACCTGCAAAAAACAATGAAAATTATTTTATAATATTTAAAATACTTAATTTTTAACAGGTACATAAATATTATTATGTAAAGACGTCTTTATAATCACACTAAATTTGTGTCTGCTTGCACATTAACAATAAACCCATCACATTTAAGAGAGTGGAATACATATAATAAATTATTTTACGTGACATAATCTGTGCTCAACTCGCACCCTTTGAAACTATTAACAAGAAAATAGTATTAATCAAATTTAATATAACTTACTAGATCAATAGTTATCTGATTGTGGATATCCATATCTCCGAGGCCTAATTTACATTCCCCGTTAACATCAAACAAAGCAGCATACTTGGCAGTTCTTGCATTTTTTACTACACAACCTAAAAACATAAACCATGTTGTAGATAAAAAAGCGTGTGTGTGTGTGTACGCACGTAAGAAGTAATACTTCTTTGGCGTAACATAACCAAAATAGCTAAAGATTTCATCTCGTATGTCACAACTCTCCGTTTGTTAAATGAATGCAGCTATAACTTCATCATGTCGCTTTTTGGCTGTCGGTGTGCGCGCGCATCGTAAAAAAGTTACTCTGATATATTTTTTCAAACGTACCAAATGAAGTACATATGTACATATGTAACTTTAATAATGAAATAAAATTTAATAAATTATAATTACCTACATACATCATCTCATAATTCCAATAGATTAAATAAGCTCTAATAACTAAGTAAGTATTTATTTCTTAACATATTATATTTCTTCAAAATAACTGAAATTCGAAGTAACAACAAGTAACGTAAAGTAGTAAAAATGGAGTAACAATGACTCAAAATGATGGCGGTACAACCATGGGTCTCGTATCGTACCTTTGAGTATTTCATGTGTAAAATATTTCCAATATTATGATTACCCCATGTTAATACGGACTAATCTAAGGAAAACATCGTGAGGTAAACCTGCTTGTTGGAGAGTACCTACTTAACTAGTTCATATATTATTTTAGTTTTAACTTAAATTACGTCACTAAAAACTTTAAATTCAATGAAATTGAAAAGAAAATTATGCCAATTCAAAAAGTTGTGCTGTACATAAAAATTTGCATTTTAATTAATTTTGGATATTCATAGTTATATTACATTGTCTTTCAATTGAAAAATTCTGAAATTTATGTATATTTTCATTTAGATAACGTAGTATTTTGTTTCATACAATAATGCAAAAACTTCCCAAATTATATATTCCATGAAGCTTTATACAGGCATTTTCAAAAATTTATCAGTTGTAATAACAATTGATAACAATAATCACAAACGTAATAACAATTAATAACAAATTAATAATAAACGTAATAATAATTAATAACAAAGTCTGTATAAATATTATAAATGTGAAAGTTTGTGAGTATGGATGTTTGTTACTCTTTCACGCCAGATCAGCAGAACGGATTTGGATGAAATTTGGCACAGAGATAGATTATAGTCTGGAATAGCACATAAGCTACATTTTATCCCGGAAAAATGTACGGTTCCCGTGAGATAGGTTTGTTAGACCCAAGTGAAGCGAGGGTGAGCCGCTCGTTATAATATAAATTATATGAAATACATTTTAATTTCTTTGAGAATGAATATTAACCATAGCAAATTGTCTTAACTCATTCATCATGACCCGATCAGACCACTTAATCTAATAATGACAGCTGATTTTAAAAATGAAATGAAAAAGGGTGGTTCAGTTTTCCTTGAAAGTATGAAAAGTTAATGAATATGAGCAATTAAGTAACACTGAATTTTCATTTTTAATATAGTATAAAGGAACAAATACTTATATAACTCACCATCTAGTATTAAATCTGGTGCGATATTCTGTAAATATTTCCCGTCGTCGTCTTCGCCGATAGCGGTAAGTAGACGTGTGCGACCGTTTCGTAGCCGCCAGAGAGCTTCCGCCATGTTCCGAGCTACGCCGCCTGCGCATTGCTCAGTCTTGCAAGGGTGAGTACTGCCGTCCATCTAAAAAGGAAATTGAAGAATTAGGTTCATTCTTTTTATATTGTGCTTAAAATATTTATAATATCAACTGAAATTTTATACGAGATGCTCGTTTTGTCTCTGTAAAATATGTATTTAATTTTTAGATTTAATTATGAATCTAATTTTAAAGAATGATCCTATCAAAAAATGATGTTATAAAAATTAAATTTATGAAAGAGCAAATAACTCTTTATGAACGCTGTGTCGACTGCCTGTTCCCAACCTACGAGCATCTATTAATAGGAAATCACATCAGAGGGAATCGTTGCAACATTTTCTCTATTAACTTAGCAAAAGCAATGCGGCGTGAAGGCATTAATTATATTTTAAAACGTATATTAAATTTCTGCATAATGTAAAAGAAATTGTAGAAGATTTAGTCATAATACGGCATAATCCTTTTGTAACGGCGCAATTGCATTGTAGTATGCTTAAGGGGATTGTTTTGTCGCATGCGAATTATAGTGATATTTAGAGCTGTTGGAATATTTTATGTGAAGATATTTTTTATGTTCTATCTGTGTAAATGCTTCGAGCGATTTCAATCGCTGGATATGAATTAAATTAAAAAAAAGCTCGGTTGCGTCTCTGGGTACGCGGATTTTCTTCACAATTTCACGGGTTTTAATATTTTTGCGCGATACCCTAATTTTTTTACTAAAATAAAAGACAAAAATTACTCCTCATATCGTCAGCTATCTGCCAGTGAAAGTCCTGTAAAAATCGTTTGGGCCGTTTTGGAGGTTAGCCGGAACAAACAGACAGACACACAGACAATATAAATATAAAAATATGAAAATAGTTTTTTTTTAAGTGTCGTATATATTTTCATTTAATAAAAAGCGGTTATTTTAACCTTACAAAACAGACACTATAATTTTATTTATTTGTATAGATTATATGAGAAATAAAAGTCAGTAAAATATCTTTGTTGGTTTCAAAGTATTGAATAACAAATTCCGTATCTGTTTGTAACTGCCATAATTTATTTCAACTTTTAATTGAACGTCACTGCCAAGATACTGATTTATAAAAAATAAACAAAGTACAGGCTCGTGTTAAAGCTCCATTGTGCAGTGCCTGGTATTGCTAGCATGTGGCGTTGACCGCAGCGATGGTATCAACCGCACGCGATACTAGAGTGCGCCAGTGAATTATGCAATCTACGTATTTTTGCCCCACAATAAATACAAATAATTTATACCGCGCTAAACCACAACTCATTTTAGTTTATGTGAGTCCTTATTTTACATTCGCGGCTTTAAACGGGGAATTATACTAATATATGCAAGACTGTAAACATTGGTAGGTGAATAGAAATTCTACAAAATAAGCATTTAATTATGTAGAAGACAAGTAACTATGTAGGTTAATGACCAGGTTATTCTGTAACTATATATTTTATTAACTAAAATGAAAAGACACCGAGCATATAATTATAAAGCCTTTGTCTTGTTTTGTGATAGGAAATAATAATGGTATTTCATTTTATGTAGGATACTAGCGGCTCACCCTCGCTTCGCTCGGGTTCACCTCTAGAAAAGTACAAACAGATCTATCCCACGGGAACCGTTCATTTTTCCGGGATAAAAATAAGTAACCTGTTGTTCGACCGGCAATATAAGGTATCAGCATGCCTATATTACTCAATTAGGTGCAAAGTTGTTGTGTACTGAGCTGTATAAGTTACTATAGTTTTTTAACTATCCCACGGGAACTCTTTAATTTTCCGGAATGAAAAGTACCAAATTTCATTTAAATAGGTTCAATAATATCGGAGATTAGCCTGTACAAACAGACAAACAGACAGAGAAAGAAAAAAATGAAAAAAATCTGGATTTGTTCTATTTCTCTCCTTACGGGATGTAAGAAGAGAACTGACTCGTATTTCAGCATTTTTTTCTACCATCTATGTACAGACATTCGACCTCTACAGTTTTATTATTCATATATGTATATTCAGATAGAATAAATAACGTATAATAAAACAGTAATATATAATAATGAAAATAGTTATAGCGAGTGTACCTTAGGAGATAAACATATACTATGTAGAACTTTTCTATAGACCTTTTTAAGACTTACAATTTTCTTGTACAATGTTTGATGAGCCAACGTTAGCCATATAAATTTCTAAGGACAATTCGATAGAACACAATTTTTCTGTAGGAGTTTTTAAGACCTACAATTTTTTAGTATATTGTTTTGATGTATATAAGTCTTAAGGCTTAGCCAGCGAAAGGTTTCTAGGGAGGACTCGATAAAACCAGTTATTGTATTTTCCCGTGGGAAAGAAAGATTTTATTTAAGTAAAAGGTATCTAGGCAGTGGTATCCCAGTGGTAACGCGCTCGCTTGAGAAACCGAGTGAAGCAAGTTCAAATCCCGGGTCTTGCACCTCTGATATTTTCATGTGCGAATCATTTCTAACAAAATTATCACTTGTCTTAACGGTGAAGGAAAACCTGCATGTCTGACAGAACCTAGCAAGTTTTCGAAAGACATGTGAAGTCCACCAACCCGCACTTGGCTAGTGTGGTGGACTATGGCCTGATCCACCTCGTACTGAAGGGAGGCCCGTGCCCAGCAGTGGTACGTTAAAAAGGGCTGAATACAACATACATACATACATACATACGTACATAATACATACAAAAGGTACCCTAAATGTTGACTCGATTAATAAGTTATCATACAGGCAAACAGTCAAACAGACAATTTTTTTAATAACTATTGTTTTGGGGTTTATGTTGTGTACATAATACGTTACAAATAAACAAAAACATCTATCCCACGGAAAAAGTACATTTTTCCGGGATAAAAAGTAACCTATTTGTTATTCTGATGTATATTATTGTAAAGTTTCATCAAAATCCAATCAGTAGTTTTCATGTACTAAGCTGTATAAGTTACTATAGTTTTTTTACGATCCCACGGAAACTCTTTAATTTTCCGGGATGGAAATTAGCTGATTTGTTTTTTTCATGTATGAACTATATTATTGTAAAGTGTCATTAAAATCCAATCAGTAGTTTTTGTGTACTAAGCTGTATAAGTTGTTATAGTTTTTTAACTATCCCACGGGAACTCTTTAATTTTCCGGGATGAAAAGTACCTAATATGTTGCCCGGGGATATAAGGTACCACCATGCAACATTTTATTTAAATAGGCCCAATAGATCCGGAGATTAGCCCGTACAAAGAGAAAAACAGACAAACAGCTCGCTCGGGTTCGTCCATACCTACGAATATGTTGTATATCTCTTTAACCATTTGTCCAAATTATATGCAGTAAAAGGGAAAAGTCTTTTGTTTAAACATTTTAGACGATTAATTTGCTTATTTTGATAAGAATTCATAATTGTTGATAATATGACCAATAAACATGAACTACCGATTTAAATTGTTTTTTTTAATATAAAAAACTACTTTTTGTGACTTAAATATAAAAGTTAGACATACGCTGTCGCTAACTTTTTTGTAGGCATTATTAAGCTCTACAACTTCTCTCTAGAACATAATCATATATCTCTCATAGTTAAGGCAGTGTTCGTAAGAAACGTTTTCGTTCGACCGTTTTTTCTCCGACTTACTCTGCAAATCCGACTACCACGAAAAAGCCTTTTTATTTTTCGGGTTACAAGATAGCCTATGACACTCAGAAAGAACGTGGCTTTCTAGTGGTAAAAGAATTTTGAAAATCGGTTCAGTAGATCCAGAGATTACCCCCTACAACATCACAAACTCACAAACTCACAAGATCACAAACTTTACCTCTTTATAATATTAGTATAGATATACAATAAAGTAATTTTAAATAACTACTATATATAATTAAATTACCTATACTAGTATAATCAATTCATAATGTAATTTTTATACTATAAAAAACCTGTCCCTTTGTGCTTAACAAAGAGCTAATAAAGTAACTCAAAGACCATTTTTTTTCAGACTTTAATTAAAGTTATAAAGATTTCTGGAAGGAAAGATTTTTTTATCGAAATAAAACTAAGCTTCCTATTATTGTAAATACTTTTAGAGATTACCCCTTACACATACACTTACAAACTCTACCTCTTTATAATATTAGTGTAGAATCAAATATAAGTATCAGAAAAAATTAATTCCTTTTTTCCATACGTAAATGGCTGCCGAATCTTGAACTTTTACTTCTCTAAAAAAAAACGAATATATACCCGAGACGTAGATGAAGTCGTAGCTTCGTCGGTAAAAGCTGTTTGTTGGCAACGTTACAGCTACCTGTTTGCATAAAAAAACTATTAAAAGCTTTTGCGTTGACATTCAGTGCGGGAACTGATTGCTCTCCCCGTCTAGGAACGCACATTCATTATTCCTAGATGGTACCTCAAGAATTCCTAAACTTTCGTAGATATTTCAAGCGACCTGAATGTAATTCATAATAAAATATTATTTTGGTGTGTTATTTAGGTAGGTAACTAGACACTCTGCAATACTTTTTAGTACGTGACTTTTAATAAAAAATACTTCTTAAATGTTTTCTACTTCATCTTACTGTCTATATCGCGTATTGTTTCGCCTTCAACACGAATAGGGTGCTACGAACCTTTGAAGAGTGCAAATTACTTAGGAAGTAAAGGAATGCGGGCTTAACAATTCACTTACAATTAATAAACGTGTCTGAAAACTTATTTATTCTGAACACGTTTGTAAATGCCAAGTGTCGCGCAATAGTTCATTTGTTTGGACGTACTTTATGCCTATTCAAAGCACACTCAGGCATCAAATAACAAATTAATGAGGGCGATTGATGACTTTCGTGATGTCATGCTTGAAAAGGTGATTAATGTATTTATGTGAATGTACTTATAACACTTATTACAATATAACTGTCAGATAGTGTGATATTAATTTTTAACCATACACATTATTGATAAACTTTAAAGCTGAAATAAATTAGTAAGCCTTTCGTTTATTTCTAAAAGGGTTTGGAGTAAATAT